AACTTGATTTCTTTAGATGCAAAAGAGTGCATAGTATGAAAGTTAGCAAAAGGCATTGCATTAAAAATATAAGATCAGAAACTTGATCTGTGCACATGTTTATGTTTTTAGAGGAGTAGAACGAGGTGAATTAATGATTCAGCTGAAATTTTTCCATTTACAATAAAATTTATGAGAAAAAAATTCCATTAATTCAGGTGGGAAAACCTGAAAAATAAAACATATTTAAAAGGAAAAACTTTTTATCTACTAAATTGCAGAAGAAATAAGTGAATTTTTTTTTTTTTCTCTGATATCTACATTCCTTTCATCAACCTTCCATTCATCCTACTTCCATTTATTCCTCGTATGTTTAACAGTGATTTGTTTCTCTTTCAAGATTTTTATGAGTTGTATGTCAATTGGTTTAAACTGCATGGTATGCCATCTTTCAACTTATTTTTGTAAATTGCACTTGTCTAAAGGTCTTCTGCACTGCTTTTTCTGCCCTTTGTAACAAGTCTTACTGCAAATGTTAAGTTAAGCTCATTTCTATTTCTAGCAGGAGACTGACTGGGCAGGTTTGCAACATCTAATAAAGTTTTATAAAAGTAGAAGATTTGATGCAGAGATTGGACTCCCCAAGTGAGATTTTTGCCTTTTAATATTTGGACATCTCTTTCGTAGCCAGCGATTAAGACTTCTCATAAAACTGATATTCTCCTTCCAGGCCAAATGACTTCCGTGATTTCCCAGAATATTTTGTGCTTGAGGTAATGATTTGAGGTAGGCTATGAGCTTGATATAGTTTTCACGCCTTGATCTCAGCTTTAGCTGGAGATGCTATGACATGTCCTTTTGATATGACAGAACTGTTACTCCTCTGCTTAATTTAAAAATTGCGTTTCTCCTGAAACAATTAGTCATCTAATTGTTGACAAAAAAAAAAAAATAGTCAACTAATTACTATGTCATGGTGGAATAGAAAAATAATGAATGCTGAGCCAGCAAAGATCACATTAGAAAATAATGAGCATAAGTACACAAATATCCCGAAGCTCCTTTCGTGTTCAGTTTTTTTAGGATAATTTCGTTATGCAGAGGTTGTGATATATTGTTTCTCTTCCTAGCCTGCTTTCCTCTGAGGGTTTCCATGGTTATTCCTCTGATACTGTGGTTTTTAACAGTTTTCTCTTCTGTTTCACTTGTGGCTGTTTGGGTTATTGTTAAGTTGAATCTATTAACTTTGAACTTTGTTATAGAACGTCTCCGTGATATATCACTCTTGTTGCAGTAGTATTAGCTTGCGCATTCCTGACTGTTTTATCTAAATTCATTGTTATTTGCTTTGTCTTAGGCCATTCCACATGCCATTGCAAGAGTAAGGGGTGCTGAGGGGAAAAGCCCTCGAGAAGCTGTTGAATTTATCTTACAGCTTCTGAAGGTATACATCTCCATACTTCTATTATATCATGTATTAACGCCGGTAAATTTTGTGAAACCTTCGTAGCCTACTGATATAGCCTTCTTATAAAGCTGCTTGTCTCTATTACACTGCAATGATTTCTGTCGTCCATGAAAGAATGGGTTATCTCATGTTTTCAGTCCATATTATCATCTTTATTATTTTCTCCGTTTTTCCTTTTCCATTTTTATAGTACAATGACAACAGTGGGAATCCGTATTCTGATGTCTTCTGGCTTGCTGTGCTTGTTCAGTCAGTTGGTGATCTCGAATTCTGTCAACAGGTCTGTGATTGTTATCATGTTAAGTCCACTCTATAATTTATCAGCTGTAGTGTAATATTTAATTTGGTCTTTTCCTGCTGACACTATGAGGGGTAGAAAAAACACTTGAATTTTATGAACAAAAATCGTACTGGACTAGACAAGATATAGTACTTAGCTCATGCATTATATTAGCTGTAAACATCTTATGGACATCTGATGCTTTCATGAAAAAAAATGAAAAGGTTTCGTCTTGGAGGATTAAGGTGGTTAAAAAAAAAGTGGAGCTATGTATCATTTTTATTCAGTTAATAGGCACAGATGTGATTTAGAACTTCAATATACCAGTGTTGATACATGTTTTATCGCTCAATAGTTTATGTTTCTTTGTTTCCCTGGCAGAGTCTAACGTTTTTAGCCCCTCTTCTGAAGCGCATTGACAGACTCTTGCAGTTTGACAGGTAACCTCCTGTTAGATGTTTATGATTTTATGAGTTTTAACAGAAATTTTGTAATAGCTTGTTGGAGATAAATGTACTAGGTTGATGCCAAGCTACAATGGCATTTTGACAATTAGCTGCATCCGGACGTTGGCACAAACTGCTCTCAAGCTTTCTGATTCCATCAGTTTCGTAAGTTCTTTCTCTATATTTTCTCCAAATGCTCCTTGTAACTCTGATAGCATCAAAAGCTTGCAATTTATTGACTTCAGGAACACATCTGTAAACTTATCGAACCTTTCCGAAACTTGGAAACAATATTGCAAGTTCGTGTAGAAGCAAGTAGGGCGCTTCTTGACATCGAGTACCAATCCAAAGGCATAAGTTCTGCACTTTTGCTGTTTAAAAAATATGTGGTAGAAGAATCATCTTTGAGAGGTTAGTTACATTCACTTGCTGGAACTTTCTGTTTCTGGTAGAGTTAATTTATTGCTTTTATATATTTGGCCTTTGATTACAGGGCAGGTTAAATTGTGTGTACATATGATGCGGTTATGTCAAATAGCAGTTGGATATGACTCGGATGATTGTGTTGACACTGTTAGTCTTCTGGATTTGCTGCATCTATTCAAGAGCCATGTAGTATTCAACAATGAATGTCTTCGCCACTACTTGTTCTGCATTTTCCAAATCCTCGCTGGAAGGTCTGTGGCCTTTACATTCATTGTCTGCGAGATTATTTTCATAAGTACTCCTCTCATGCTGTGCATTTGTTTCTTTATTCATTATGGTTGCCTGTGGCTAGCAGAAAAGTAAGTCTCTAGTCATAGTACATAATTTACTAATTTTCTTAAGCTATGAAGATTTATTAGCTGATGCATTGTGTTTGGGTACATTAGTTTATGCCCTTTACTGAATTTTGTTTGTATTCCAAGTGTTTTCATTTTTAGCCTAGAGAGAATTATCATAGGTCTTCTTCTGCTTTCACTGTGGTTATTGCCACTCTGAACAGAATATACTTACCGTTATCTCATTTTCAGACCCCCAACGTTGTTTGGAGTGCCCAAAGAAAAACCTTTGCAGCTTGTTGATGTAGAGGCCTGCATTGAGCCGAAGAATGTATATTTGGTCCCAGGAGCAGAAGCAGCGGGGTCTTCACTTTTGCCACTTGGAGATGCCAAAGGAAAATCACTGGATGTTGCTCCGTTTGGTTTTCCAGTGCGATCACAGGAAATGTTCATGCCTATTGTTTCTGAACTGAAGTCTCCAGAACCTGTTGCAGCGTATGAGACGCAACATCTTGAACCTCGCATGGAAAGTCAAAACCAACCTTTACATGAAAATCTTATTGTTCATGAGATGCCACCGGATAGCGTAGCCCCAACAGAAGAATTAGCTAATAAGGAAGCAAACTCTTCGATAAAGGAACCACAAAAAGAACCTGATGTGGTGTCTGTGTCAGTTAGTCACGAGGTCAAGAAGTCTGTTATACGGATCAAAGTCAGACCATCTGGTGCGACCAGCAGAGCCGAGGGATCCGCACGATCCATAGAAAGATCTCAAGGGATTGTGGTACGCCATGATATAGATAGGGGACAAACTAGTTCAGCTTCAGTGGATGCTCCACAGAGAATCTCAACGGATGCTGTGAGCATAAGCAATCAGAATCACGTGGAGGAAGTAAACTCGTGTCACGATGTTGGATCTCGCATGACTGCAAGTATCGGCAGTGTAAAATTTGTAAGCGAAGGCGATACTTTTGGGAAAGAGCTGCAATGCACTGCTGAGTCTGGGAAAACTTCGGCAAGCCAGAAAGTAGATACTAGCATACAAATCGCAGCGCCTAGCTTCATACCAGTAGATCATAGTATGGAAAACGAGGCGCAGCAGAAATACGCGAGCCTTCAAACACTTTCTGTTGGTAAAGAAAATGATAAGAAGAAAGACAAAGAAAAGAAAGAGAAGAAGAGGAAAAGAGAAGACCCGGTTTATCTAGAAAAGAAACGGTTAAAGAAAGAGAAGAAAAGGAAGGAGAAAGAAATGGCAAAGCTTGTGAGTAGCTCTTCGGATCCAGCAAAGCTTGTGAGTAGCTCTTCGGATCCAGCGACGAAGAAGAAGATAGAGAGTGTCACGGAGGCTAAAGTAGAAGAACCAAGGGATGGTGCCGTATTGGTTAAGGTTGAAACAGAGGCTGACCGTCCGCTTCCCAAGTTCCGAATCAAGCTGAAAGGCAAAGCGTTCAACAACTCATAAGGTTCGATCTGAGCCAGTCTTATTGTTGTATCAAAACTGCTAGTGATTTTGTAGCTGTGGCTTCAAAATATCGGAGTAAAAAAATTTGCATAGAGATTCGATGAGTGTGACTTGTATACAAAAGCTTTGTTGTTGCATTGCAAGGTGTGATATAATGTCAATGTGATCCTTTGTTCAGTGCGCTTTATGTCTCTCCTACCTTTGGTTTCACGCCAGAGCTGAAGCGCGCTCCACGTCAGTTTCACGAACTAACGTTAGGATTGAAACGGTGCACATTTGATACTAATGGACCGATCTGGCAAATTAATTACTTGCAGCTTTTATTTAATATAAAGCGCAACAAAGTGTGCGTTATGGACCAAATAATCTCCTAATTAACATCCCTTATAGGGACAAATACTGTTTTGACTTTGAGTGATTCTTTTGAATTTCAGAAACAACAATTTAGATTACTTTTTCGAAAATTTGACTTCCAGAAAAAGTAATAAAATTAAGGATAATCACTCGTTGATGTTAATCATTTTGTATTTTTGTTAAGAAGACGACAGTGAAAAGAGAAAAAGAGGGTTTAGACAAATAAAATAAAAGAAGAAACACAAAAATATATTAGACAAAAAAAAAAAAGAGAGAGAGAGCAATAAGGGAAGAGAGGAAAAGGGAAGGAGAAGCACTGTGGAATCGAAAACATATTTGCTGAATTCATTCCTCAACCCAGGCGTCTTCTCTAACCAACCAATCGTCTCCTTTCGAAAGAGACAGAGAGTGTTATGGAGGCAAAGCGAGAAATCCTAATTCCGTAGAGAGAAACTGAGAGAAGAAAACACGATGAACTGTGGGAGAGTGTTGAAGTCCGTACAAGCCTTGGTGGCTCACACCTTTCTCTTCTCTTTCACGCTCGCTTTGGTCCTCAAGCTCAACCATACCCTTACTTACTCCTGGTGGTTAGTTTCTCTTGACTCAATTGTTTAGAATCCAAAAATTCTTCTTATTCGTTGAATTTCTTCGTATAAGATTGAGATTTGAGGATTTGGATCCACACCCTTTTTCCCTGTTCAATTTCGAATTCAGAGCCTTCTCGAAGACAAGTTGGGGTTTTCTGCTCTGAGGTTTTTCTCGCATGTGGCATCTGTGAGATAATTGAATTATTGATCTGACAAGTTCTTGATCGCCACTATGCAGTCTCATTTAAATAGGAATATTCCCGTTTTGGAAACTCGTCTAGTTTTTGTGTACAAGACATTAAAAGTACACATCTTTTTATCAGGTACTATGAGACAGGGAAGCCTCTCTCAGATCGTGTCACGTGTTGATGTACTTATTTACTATGTTTTATATGATTAGACATAGAGTTTAAGGTTTTGTGTGAGGATTGCAGACGGAAATGAATTCATCTAGATTCAGTCGTTGGGAGTTTCTATTTTGAGTTTCCAATTCTTCCAGGTTTCTTTGAGTCTTGCTTTTGGGGGTTCTTTTTGGTGTGTTATCCATTTCTTGGTTTTGGTAGCAGTCATAAAGCAATCGGTTAAACATAACAAATTTATCTGTTCCGGTGATTTCGGCATACAGGGTTGTGTGTCTACCTCTATGGGCTTTCCATGCTGTTGTTGCACGGGGAAGATTCTCGCTTCCTGCTCCAATTGCCCCTCGAAACCGTCATGTATATCCCCTACTTCAATATCCACAAGATTATTCAATCACACTATTATGATTTCCAGTAAATCCATAGCTAAGAATAACTGATGTTATGATTAAATTTTTAGATGACACTTTACATGGCTTGCAATGATTTGTTTCTTTTTGGTGTACAGTGGGCTCCATGTCATGCTATTGTAGCAACACCATTGCTTATAGCTTTCGAATTGCTCCTCTGTGTATACCTCGAGACAGCATATGGTATATAATTACGGCTTCGCTGATATTTAAAGACTCTTGTAGTTCAATATTTTGACAAGGAAAAAACATGATTTATGTTATACTCAAGAGGTGAAGCAATTGTTGACTATATGACTGAAACCTTCTCTTTTGGAATTTTGGATTTTCAATTAATGGTTAAATTGAATAGCGTTCAAAGAACTTAAGCTTCCGTAGTGTTTATTTGAGGTATGATGCCTTACTTTCATTACCTCCTGTTTACTGTATTTTATGTTATTCTATTTGAGATGCAGCTCGAACGCCGCCAGCTGTGAGCTTGAAGATTGTTTTTCTCCCTTTATTGGCGTTTGAAGTAATAATACTGGTGGACAATGCTAGGTATTGAGATTGAAGTGTAATAACGTTTTGCTTTATCCTTGCGTCTCAGAACCATTTGTTCTTTCTTTTGTGAATTGATAACAAATTGGTTCACATGGGAGATTTTGTTTAATTTTTTGGATAATATTGTAAGATAGAGATGATAGGTCCTAGAACAGACTAGTACCAATGATAAGAATGATTTTTCAAGGCTAATGCAGCTTTTTATACATGGTTTGTGATTGCATTTGTAATACATACTTGAGTGGAGAAGTGAAGCTGCTGAGGTTGGTGAGATATTATCCGGCATATGAAGCTAGTACCAATGATGTGGATTAATTACTTGAAGTAGACTTTGATAGTAAACTTTACTGTTTCGTTAGTTGGAAGATTGCTTGAAATTATTTTTATCTGCTATTCTATATTAAGTTCTTAATATACTGCACGTTTTTATCTTCAGAATGTGCCGGGCACTGATGCCTGGAGATGAAGAGAGCGTGAATGATGAAGCAATATGGGAAGCTCTTCCTGTAAGTCAAACTACATGTTTTCATTTAAGGTCTAAGCTGTTGTTAAAAGTAATTGGTTCAAAAACTTAAGAAAATAACTCTTCTTTCTTTCCTTGCTTACCTTGCATTTAGTTTCTATGTGTGAGTATCAGTCATATCAAATGTTAAACCATTTTTATTTTCATATAACAAGACTTTGGACTCTGATTGAGTCATGGATTGGGAGAAGTTCTCCTTTTGGTCTATTTCTATAATTTTAGCTTAGCAGTCAGGCCGAAAGAATTTCTGTGGTGGATGGGAACTGGGAAGCTACTTCAAATAAACTTTTCACATGCTTTTTTTTTGTTGTTGTCTGCAGCATTTCTGGGTTGCGATTTCCATGGTGTTCTTTCTGGCTGCTACAGTCTTTACCCTCCTAAAGCTGTCTGGTAATAATCTGTCGCTGTAATAGTTTCTGACATTTTTGGCTAAAATTTGAAATATCTTACCTAATATAGGTGTTTTACTTCATGTAATCCACAATCATGTTTAGTGACAATTCTTTTGTGTTTAGTGACCATTAAAATTAGAAAATGACTCCAGAAAGAAAAACCTTTAAATATTGCAGGATGAATTGTAAATGTTTGTATAAATTCGGAGATAAGTGAATTTCTTAATTGGTGGAACAAGTCAAGTGTTAATACTTAGGGCTTGGACTCCATATATATGTATACGTTAATTTGCTGAGCGTCCTATGCATGTAATTTGCTTAGTGTGCACAGACGCTGACATCTTCATTTATTCATATTTAACTTCAGCTGTCTGATTAACTATGTGGATATTGCCATATTTACCTATCTAAATCATATCTTATATAAACCATGTCCATGAATACCTTCTTAATTTATTCAATTCAGGTGACGTAGCTGCTCTTGGCTGGTGGGATTTATTCATTAATTTTGGGTATGCTTTGTCTTTTTCTTTTCTGTTACAATTTCTTAATGCTATTTGTAGAATTATCATGACTGTAATCAATGTGTGTACGTTTTGCCTGCAGAATTGCAGAGTGCTTTGCTTTTCTTGTTTGCACAAAATGGTCTAATCCAGTAATTCATAGAAGCTCACATGACACAGAAACCGGGTCATCTTCTACCACTATTAGATATCTTGACTGGAACAGTGGCCTTGGGGTTTTTTCAGAAGACGATAGGCACCAAGATACAACATGTGGCCTGCAAGACATTGGTGGTCATATAATGAAAATTCCCCTCCTTGTATTTCAAGTGGTACTTTGCATGCATTTAGAGGTACTCACCATTTCTGTCGATCCTACAAATCTTGTATTTGGACATTATTATAAAATTATTGGTTTGAATTTTCAGGGGACTCCTAAAGCTGCTAAGAATATACCTGTCCCTGTCCTGTTTTCTCCACTTTTCCTATTGCAAGGCGTTGGTGTTCTATTTGCTGTTTCTAAATTAATAGAGAAGGTTGTTCTTTTGCTGCGCGAGGAAGATGATTCAGGATTGTATTTTAGATTTTCATCCAGAGTCCATGACTGCTTGGGTTTTTTGCACCATGGATCGAGGTGATAAATATGTTTAGCTACTTGCTTTGTCTGTTTTTAATGCACAAAAGTTATGGGGCTAACCACCAACTATAAATTTTATGCTGCCACTGAATTGCTAACAAACATTTGATCCTCTTACGTGCTCACTCAGGCTACTAGGTTGGTGGTCAATTGATGAAGGAAGCAGGGAGGAGCAAGCTCGATTATACTTTGATCAGGATTCTGGGTTAGTACAATTCAACCTTCTAAATAGTCCAACGAAAATGGTACATCCCACCTGCTGAAGATTTCATGAACATATGTGGTGCAGTTACAATACCTTCTGTGGTCATCCTCCTGAAATAGTCAAGAAAATGCCGAAGAAGGAGCTTGCCGAGGAGGTATTTTCACCTTTTCTCTAACTAGCAATAGTTCATTCTTTTATTAAGACTTTCGTCCTCTGGTTTCAATACCTTCACTTTTATTTGATTCCGTGTCAGGTGTGGAGACTTCAAGCAGCACTTGGGGAACAAACAGAAATCACAAAATTCAGTCAGCAGGAATATGAGAGACTACAAAATGTAATACCCTCTCCCTCTTCTTCTGATAATTACCCTTCTCACTCTAAAGAGGTTAAGCTTTCAGAAATTTTCTCTTTCCGTGTTGCTTATCCGTTAGACTGAATTTCATATTTTGACGCTCTCCCTGTTCCAGGAAAAAGTGCTGTGTAGGGTTTGTTTTGAAAGAGAAATCAGTGTCGTACTGCTTCCATGTAGACACCGTGTTCTCTGCAGGTACCTTATTATATTCAATGTTTATGCTTTATTTCACAGGAATAAACTGAATGTAAAGTATAAGCTTTTACCAAAATAGGCAAATAGCCATGAAACGCACTAAGTTCGTTTGCAGACTGTGAAATGATCTGATAATGTTGAGAGCTCTCTGATGATATGTTTTTACTGTCATGGTTGTTGCAGAAACTGCTCAGACAAGTGTAAAAAATGTCCCTTCTGCCGTATAACCATCGAAGAGCGGCTCCCCGTATATGATGTTTAACATCTAACTTGACCCTCTTCGATATCAGTGATTTAAGTGTATATATGTGTGTGTGTGTAGACTGTAGAGAGAGGATATGATGATTAAAACTCCTTATATTACCATCTCTACATTGCTGAGTCTTTTTATTAGTGTGAATCAGCATTGAGGATAGGTCAAACAGAAGTCTATTAGATAAGATCGTATGCCTCATGTTTAGGCTTTTTGTAACTATTAACACCTCTGACATACTTCAGGGAGATATTGTTTGTATAATATAAGTGTTCTTGTTTTCATGTATTTATATTTCTGGATCGGGTTTTTGTGAAACACTTCCTTCTATTCAGAGTTGAAGATAACAAATTGAACAAAGCAGTTGTGGGTATCTCACTGAACAAAGCAGTTGTGGGTAACTGTTTAACTAATTTCGGCCTTTTTCAGATATTTTTGGCGGGTAACTAGCAGGTTATTTTGTTGTAAAATAAACTCTGACTGGGCCGAGTCTGGCCCAGTGGACTAAAAGGTTTTTGTTTTGGACAAATCAAAGGCGACGCGAGAGACCTAACTTACTCCGGCCGAACGAAATAGAGAGAGAGAGAGAGAGAGAGTGAGAGTGACGGCGAGGAAGAGGAGAGATGTGGTTCGCCGGCGGTGGAGTAGGAGGACTGAGGAAGCTCTGCAGAGCGTCGGCTGTTTTCGAAAATGAGCTGAGTTATAACTCTTTGTTGGTGAGATACATGTCGAGAGAACGAGCTGTAAACGTCCGGAAGATAAACCCTAAGGTTCCGATCCAAGAAGCTTACGCCATTTCCAATTCTCTTTACGATCTCTTTAAGCAACATGGTCCTCTTTCCGTTCCCAACACTTGGCTCCGCGCTCAGGTTTAATCCCCTCTTTCTATCCTCGTTTCCATGTTTGAGTCTTCCAATACCCAACAAATTGATCTGAAAGTGTAATGATATTTGATTTGAGATCCTTAGTTTCTCTAACGTTTACTAATAATTTCAGTGCTCCGGACATAGATTAATGGTATAGGTTATAATGCATTGTTTGCGTAAGCTGTAAATTTGTTTCTGAGTTTATATTCGTCTGAATCTTGCTAAAACCCACAAAATTGATCTGAAATGGTAACAGTCGCCGTGATTTTGATCTTAGGTCCTTAGTTTTTCATAATGTTTTGATTCTCTGTTGCTTCCGGTCTATAAACTCTTTAGATTAGATCAATGGTATAGTTCACTTGCTTGTGCATTGTTTGTTTGCGTTTATTAGTGTGGTTTGACTCATCTATGCAATTTGCTAATGGTTTTTAAGAACTTTAGTTATCGAAATGTTTTGATCATAGTGATGTACTCAATACAATAACAACAACTAGCTGGGGTTATTTCATTGTTCCGGAGTATAAGCTCTTTAGATCAGTGGTATAGTTTATTTACTTGTGCATTTTTTGTTTGTTTGTTTTTTTAAGTTAGCATATATATTAGTGTGGTTTGACTCAGCTCTGCTTTAATTTCCTAAGAATATGAGTTATTGAAATGTTGTAATATAACTAAGTATCTGGTGATTGTGTTTGTATATAACAATAGGAAGCTGGGGTTAGTGGACTGAACAGCAAAACGCACATGAAGCTATTGTTGAAATGGATGAGAGGGAAAAAAATGCTCAAGTTAATCTGCAACCAAGTTGGCTCATCGAAAAAGTTCTTCCACAGCGTTTTACCTGAAGATCCTCAACAGGACCAACCGGATGCTGTGCCTGAGATCAAGAAACAAGCCTCTAAGAAACGAAGCAAATAGGGGGCATTGGAGTCTAGATACTGAATAGAGAGAACAAATCTCTCTTTTGTATGTTTCTTCTTCGAGGGAATGAAATGTGTTTATCTGTTTCTAGTCTCAGAGAAAACATTTTTTAGTAAGATCTTTCTTGAGAAGTCACGACTTGCTTTGATCTTTGCCCCGTTCCCTTTAATAAAAGAAGATCACTTCCTCTGCACAAGTAAACCACCAAATATCATCACTCTGCCAGCACTCAAGCAGATGCTTCAATTTTCCTTTTCTAATTTTATTTATTCTTGAGAATGTTTTGGATATTTTTTTCTAAAGTTTATCTTATTGGTGGGTAAAACAACATGGTGGGATGTGGGATCATTCTCTCTTTTCTCTAAGAACCAGATCATCGCTCGTGAAGGGGTATCATTAACCGATCAATATCGTATCAATAAACTATCTTGGTTTCGTTGAAAAGAAAATATATAGAGGGCTTGGCCAAGAAAAAGTCACTGAATCATCAAACGATTCTTAACACGACAAGTCAAAATGTTTTGGATCCATATATTGCCATATGATTTCACATATGATTTAATAGGCTTTTGCATGATTTTCAACGGTATTAAATTTTTAAAAAGTATACTTTATGAAGAAATGATGTTGATAGTCGGAAATGAGATCATTTTCATATGTGTCGTAGAGACAATTACCCACCATATGGCTGAATTGAAAGACGAAACAACACTGGTTAAATCGAAAGAGAAGGAAGATACCAAAGAAGAAAAAAGAAAACAATTAGTAAAGAATTGAGAAACATCCCTAGCCTAGCTAACGGTTAAATAAATATATGACTCAGTAAATTTAAAATATCTCTCTTTACGAACTATTAATGGGCCGAAACGGTAAGCCCAACAGAGTCCAAGCAGTAACCAAATAGAAAATATTTGAAGAAAGGAGTACCTTTTATGCAAAATACAACAACTAACAATGCTCCATGAATCATCATCATCATTTCGGAGTTGGCTTTCCGTTTTTGCGATTCATTCGAATCGAAAATGAAAAATTGAGCTACGAGAAAACCCAAACTTTGAATTCTAAATTCACTAACGTGTAAGTCATCTTCTTCCCCTCTTACAAACCCTAATTTGTACGCACGCCTTCAGAACCAGCCCTGTTCTTGCTGTAGTATTCGATGTGGTGATTCGTTTTGAAGGCATTGGAGCTGCTAAATGGTTGGTGTTGATCCGATCTAACATTTTGAGCTTACAAATTTCTTTTCTTTTGGATTTAATTTCAGGCTGCAAAAGTGTTTAGTGAAGCAAACCCACCAAATCTGAGCTTAGTATAGTATAAGCTAAAAGTCTCGAGCTTTGATGAATCTCCTCAGCTGGGGAAGTATAAGGGACTATGAGGATTCAATAACTGGAAAAAAAAATTGATGGGTAGGAGAGTTCCCTTGTTACATTTGAAATGAGTCGGTCTCCATCTTTTTCTGTGAAGCCTGAGCTTAGTATAAAGCCTGATCCTGAGTCATTGAAACGATGGATCCATGCATTTTGCATTATGAGGTTTGATCTTGAGCAAGGGCAGCTCTTAGAAGAGTGTTATCCACCAGGTTGTCTCTCACAAGAAGAAGAAATTGAGGTTTCATTCAACTCCTTTCCTGATTCTGTCTCACAGCATCATAACCGCTCAAGCATACATGACTGCATTTTCTTTTTCCGGTTTCGTAGACCAAAGAAGAACACTGAGGAGAGAGATGGTACTGATAAGTACTTGTATGGTTATGTGTTTAATAGGCAGAGGCATGATGAAAGGTTGAAAAGGGGAGGTGAACAAAAGTCTGTGGTGATATTATCGCATACGCCTTACTCTAGTGTTTTTAGGCCTTTGCTACAGATCATTGGCCCTTTGTATTTTGATGTTGGAAATAAAGCTATTCAACATATTGCTGGTTATGTCTCTATGTGGCCTGCCCCTGTACCCGGTAAGCTAATGGAGCTGCCAATTGGTAATGCAATGCTTAAGGTGAACTTGCCGCCTGCTCATAGCCTTCCCTTAGAAAATGGCGTTTTGTATGAGGAATCTTCTTCCTCCATGGCGCCTTTACTACCTACAAACCAGTCTGTTCCTCAAGGTCTTTTCCATGATGCAGATCTTTTTGGCATTTACCGGGGGCTATTGTTGCAGCTATGGACATTATGGGAATTGTTACTTATAGGCGAGCCCATCCTAATCATAGCGCCAACACCTCCGCAATGTTCTGAGGCAGTTGCTTGTCTCGTGAGTATGGTTGCGCCATTATTTTGCAGCGTCGACTTTAGACCATATTTCACTATACATGATCCAGGATTTGCTCGACTAAACTCACTCCGAGAAGGAGACACTTTCCCGCCAATGGTTTTGGGTGTCACTAATCTCTTTTTCCTTAAAGCTCTTCGCAATATCCCTCATGTTGTCTCAGTTGGAACCCCTGCTCCAAACTCAAACCGTGTTGCCCTTACAAGTAGGTCGGCTGGTAAATTATCTGTTAAAGCTGAAGGATTAGGCGTCCAACAGCTTTCATTAAGAAGGTTCTCTCCTACAAATTTGCTAAATGCAGTAAAACTTAGACGAGATGGACCTCTGTGTCTGATGACAGAGCACAAGGAAGCTGTTTGGACCACCTACTCTGCAATAACCAAGCCAGACACTTCTATTTTGAATAGACTAATTGATGCTGGGATGTCACCGAGGGTTGAGGAGTCAATGTCAGTTGTTAATAATGAGATTCTGCGACGCCATTTCTTGGAATTAACTACAAATTTCCTGGCCCCTTTTGGCCCATATTTCCAGGTCAATGCTCCTTCCGACGGATCTTCCCCATATGTTACTCCTCCTTCGCTACCGTCATTCGGTGCAGATGAATTCCTTTCAAATTTATCTTCGAGAGGTGTAGGGAAGTTTTTGTCTAAACGCATGAAATCCAACTGGCCCGACTTGTATAGGTATATATAGTTTTTTATCGATATTAACAACACCATTTGAGTTTCGTAGTCCTTGGATTGATTGTCTCATTCTGGTCTAGCAGTATGTAGTTCCCTTGCTTAAACAATTTATATTCTTTCAGGCGGTTTCTACAAGGGCCAAATTTTATGCCTTGGTTCCAAAGACGGCGTGCTGTTGCCGAGCAAGAACAACGTAGATTATGGAGGCTAGCTAGAATGAAGACTGATATGAGGCAGATTACATCTCAGATGAACGAACTGGAAGCTGTAGATTCCTTCAATGCCATTGAGAAACACATTAATGAGGAAGTGGTATGTTTACGTTTACCTTTTGACTCTCTTATTTTTATGTTCATGTTACTTCTGTGCAAGATTCTTTTATTTAGGCCTGAATGCTCTTATCTTATTTGGAAACTCGCATGTAAACGTTACCTTCCTGTTTTGTACTTACATGATGTTGATTTTATCTACTTAGCTATGTATTGCTCTTCATATTATAGGTAGATGTCTCTTCAAGAGACATTAATTAGTTCTCTCTTCAGCAGACCCCGAACAATTATGACATATCAAAAACAATTCTTTTGCAGTCGCGGGAATCAGGAGGAGGAGGTGTCGATTCAGAAGAAACGTTTCAGAAACTGAAGAAGGATCTACAAGCAGTGTTCAGTGTGCTTCCAAGAGACATGCAGCAACTTCTGCTTTTAAATCCGCAAAGAGCATCCCTTCTTCAAGATCCATCAGATCTCCAATGAACCCTCTTCTTCGCTAGGGCTTCCATGAGGATTCTGATATCTTTCCTTTTTTTTTCTGTTTCGAATTCATTCTTTTTGACTATTTCGAAAAAAGAAAATTTCGTCATCTACCTTATTTCCTACTACGTGGATAAATTATAGTTCTTGTTCAGAAAAGCATATGATTCTTTCATATTTACGACAATTGAATGATAATGTGCGCAAGGATCAGTGTAATTGATTGGTCTCTTCAGAGTGAGTAATTCTCTGGATTCATAGCATCTTCAGGACATTATATAATTGTCATGGAAACCACTATACAAATTACAAACATTAATTTATATCATATATTCATATTGCTGAAAAAGCATCTCTCACAACAAGAGAATTTTTACATTATATGTACACTATCATAGTCAATCAATAAAAGATTGACATTAACACACATGAAGCCCACACACAACAACACAATACAAAGACACCAAACTCTATGAGGCATTGACCATTGGCCATAGGTTGGTTTTAGCTACTACACTACTGTGCTTCCTTTTTCTTCTTCTTCAACTTCATACCTTTCGGACTGGTTTGCCTCAGTTGGACTGGTGTCGGTTCCACAAGCAGAAGCCTCGACATCACATATCTCAAAAGCTCTTCCCGGTGAGAGAATGTGAAATCAAGGTGTGCATACTCAAACTCATTAAACGATACATCAACCTCTGCATCTCTCATCACCTTGTAGTGTTTCTTCACCATGGAAGACCGAATCACCTTGTCATTCCTTCCCGCCACTAAATCCACAGGCACATCAATGAACTTGTAAGACTCCCCTAGATCAAGCGGTTCAGGAGAGCCATAAACCTCCATGTTAGCTGATCTGCTTCCATAATCATACATCCTGAATTTGCCGCTGTGTTTGATCTGAGCAAGATGTTGCGCCACACGGAAGGAGACAGCTGGCATGTCGTTCATGTTGTAATGAGGCAATCCTAAGACTCCGACCCAATTTGAGCTGTCTCCACCAACTACATAACTCATCAGAGTTTGGACCAGTCCACCAAGAGCAGGATAGTTGTGAAAGTCACGAGCTAACTTGTTCAGAAGCATCCTGAAGAATCTTGTCGGTATGTAGAAGGCAGGAATGACGCAAGCCAAAACTGGACTAATGAAAAGGAATATGTATTCAACTAATGTGAAACCTAAGTTTGAGTCCTCATGAAACCCAGCAGGTGAAAGTAGGATTAGTCGCGAGAGTCTGTGTGGCTTCTCTTTGATTTTTCGAGTAATAACATACATCAGAATGGCAGCACCGCCTAGACTATGACAGATGGCACAGAGCTTATAGGGCTCCTCCTGATTGATTTCTTCATCGACATTGGGCTGGCAGAGCTTGAGTTCTGTAGTTTTTATTTCATGAATTTTTTCTATCATAGCTGGGATATCCTCAGTACCGTGCTCGTTAATTGAGTATCGCCAGAACCTGCAGTTTGGTCAATAGCAATGAACATTTGTACAACTTGCAAATATATACAACTCCGCTATCATAAAGAAACCGGACAGTTCATGTAGATAAAGTAAGAAGTGAATTTTAAAGCTATAACTCACTCTTTTGAGGATATATTCTTGTTCACATGATCTCTTGAAACTAACCCCCGAAAGTTACCCAGAAAAACATCATAGCCTGTAAGGGAAAAAAGTGTAAGATGCTGATTAATGGTTGCTGCATGTATACTTATAAAAGATTGGATCATGCAAAACTTGAGGCTGGAACCTTGGTCATACGCAGCAAAAGCCGGAGATCCAACAACCCCATTAGATACCCATCTGAAGAAAAACACACAGGAAGGAAATCAATAATGTTTGTATAGAACATATATTGGATCAAAACCCCAATGGTTATAGGATGTTCCAGGTAAACACTGAAATCTCTGGGCAGTTGAAAGCATAGGCAAAAGAAGATGAGATGATATATGTAAATGAATGCACTATCCCTCTTAATCTCAACACAAGATTTTCCGAAATATATTCTTGTATCTTGAGAAAGTTAAATACACATGCAAAGTATGAGAGGAACAATTTACGAAAAGAAATTTCCAGTCAAGTATAGAGTCTGGAACATTGAAACGCCCTGATATTTTATGCTACATGGATACAGAAAATGATGCTTCCTCAACTTATCAGAGTTTGAAAACTTTACGAGTCATCTAAGAACTAGACCATGAAACTTACCCCATTGAAGAATCCAGAACCCCATGCTGCAAAAAAACAGCTTTCCTTGCATCGCGTCTGCAAAGACAAAAGAAGCAGTCAACAATCGCATTTTAAGTAAGAGACAATAAAACAGGAATGGAAAGGATGCACAAGTGAGCTTAATATCTCCCAAGAAAGTATTACCTTGGTATCCTTTCCAAGACAAGAACATATCCGTCAGATGTAACAACACGAATAGCTTCGTAAGGATACCTACCACAAGAAGTAAATATCAAATACTTGAGAAAGAGAAAATAAATAAAAGCACGAGACATCAAATCAACCCCTACCCCAACTCTGTTATGACATCTTGACATGTTCGAGTATCTGTGTTCATAGAGTTGTATAAGCGTGTGGGCCGTTCTATGGGCCTTTCCGTGGGGGACGGATCGGTCTCTCCTAAGGTAGCAGTCTGCACAGTTTCATCATCTGAAACGTCACTGTGGTTTCTTTTCGGGCTGTGACTGGAAGGTGAGAACCATGATAACAATATTGTGAAAGCTTCTGATGGAGAGAGAAGAAGATGTGTAGCCTTGTGAAAGAAATCAAATATTGCTTCTATGCATATCTCTATAGCAAGATGAAGATCCTGAAAAGTAAAGGACATTAAGGAGGAAGAGAATGTGAAAAGGTTTAGAACCACAAAAATAATTGAACAGTAGCGGGGGGATTTCTAGAGAGAATATTGAATATTTGTTAGTGTATCCACAAACCTCAATAACTCCGCGTCTTCTATCAGTAGCTCTGTTGGGAACATCATGGTCTTTGCTTGAGTTGGTCTTGCTAATGCGAGGTCTAGATGAGTGTTGGTGCCTTCTTGGGCTAGTAGGAGTTGTTCTTGAACTTCGTTTAAAGAATAAACTCACAAAATATTGTGGTACCCATAGCAAGATCCGTAGAGGAAATATCAACCACCAAAGAATGAATGTAATCCACTCTGTCCAGTGGCATTCAGAATTAGCAGAAGCGCTGGCCCAAGAGAGGCGTGAGCTTTGAGATGATGGTGATGCAGGCAGTGCACCATCACTATCTTCTCCAGAAGAATACTCCAAGCTTGAAGTATCAGAATCCACAGAAAGCTCGTGAATGAACTCATTGAAAGAAGAGACCCCACTGCCATAGAAAATGGAACAAGAGTAAAATTAGCAAACTATTAGAATCAAAGGCTTGCAAATAAGACTAAACAACAAAAGAATCAGAATTGTACTTATGCATCCACCGTGGTAAACGTGGTCCACGAAACGTGGGCCTGAGTTCCCACCCATGAAGACCTTCAAGAATATTAGCCTTCCCCGGCAGAAGGGTCAACAAAAGAGCCGATACTCCATTTATGCATCTTGCAATGTTATTCAAAGACTCATATGTAACAGTTTTCACTGATCTGCACTAAAAGTCAAACATAACCGAAAGCATAGTTAGCTTAGGCTTGTTAGGCAACATAAAGGGAAAAGATGAACATCTAACAAGAAGACAAAAAAGAGTTATCAGCCAACATCAACAATTCAAAAACAAACAAGCTTTGAATGAAGATACTACGATAAAATAGTCTTAGTCTAAGAACTCAAAAAAAACAATCCACACAAACAAACAGATTCACTATAATCACAAAATAGGAGGTATTGATAACTAAAACCAAGGGTTCGCTTCTCCAAAGAACAACTGAATCAAAACACCAAAACAAGGAAGCAAACAAAAACAAAAAACAACTTTTCAAGCAACATCTTCCACGGACAGCGATATCAAGATCAACTAATCAAAACCCTGCTTAATCATTATAACAACTATAGGAATACAAAGATGAATGCACTAATCGAGAAGAAAAAAGACTCACTCTTTGGTAACAGCAAGAGCGTTGTCTACGATCCGTTGCATGACTTTTTCTCAACCAAAAAAAAAAATTTCAGAAATTTCGAAACAAATTTTCCAGGAAAACGACAAAGAGAAAAACAAACTTTATCCACCTGACAAAAAAATTCCCAGAAAAGAAAAGCCCGATGCTTGAGATATTGACCAAGATCCCGATCGAGATTTATCCCGAAATCGTATAAGGAAAACACAACGACCCACAGGAGCCGCGATTCCAGAATCCAAATTCCAAAAAAAAAAAAAAAACCAAAATTGGGAGAATCTGACGAAATTTTTTAAATTAAATTGTGAGAATCCGATTAATAATTTTTTTAAAAAAAGGGCACGTCGGCGATTCTTGCCGTCCAGAGGAAGGATCTGTAAATTCTGAAGAGACCAGATGTCGACACGTGCAATTGTTGGATAATATGGAGTGATTACACGTGTATATATCTGATTGGATAAGATTAAATGTGACAAACTAGGACACGTACTATGTACATTCACCACCGTTTGGAGATGGATAAGGTCAATTTACCAAAACACACACGAATAGAGCAATAACACCATCCTCGATACTACTTGAGATATTACAAGTATTTTATCCACCCCCTTTTGTACAGTAATACAACATTACAAACTACTATTTGTGCCTGTTTTCACTTTGGAAAATTACATTTGTGTTAGCAAGGAAAAAAGAAACGAGTACATTTCCTTGTAAAAAATCCAACCATGTATTGGAAAGTTATGCGAAGCAGGGATTCCTACAAGATTCATAGAATACGTGGTTTATCTCTTTTGCCCATCTTTTTCCATTCTTTGTCAGTTTGCATATACTGTATGCAACTAAACACTTGCCTTAAAAAATACATAGATAATTACTTAGTCTCTCTGATTGTCTCCCTAGGTTCTTGTTACGGCGATGACAGCACAGAGACGAACTACTAATAATATTACACCATTTGGAACACATAGATTCGTCCTTCTTCTTGATCTCAAGCAGCTTTTAAGGGCATTTCCTCTGGATGTAAGAAGCTCCATGCTCTTCATACCTGTCATGTACACAACAAAACACTCAAAACCAATGCTGAGGAGAAAAATCACTGTTTATGCGTGTTCGAGATCTACACAACAACAACCCAATGTGTTACTTACTCAGACTTCGAGAACCACATTTGCTGGAATGAACCTAGCGATGCCAATATACTCCCTCCTATCCACACACTGCACATATAGCCATTCCGTTTCCCAAAATAAATCTCAGCTATTGTAAATGAGCCTCTAAACCATGTGTGGTAATTCTTGAACAGAATGAAGCATGTCTGTGTTATTCTCCATTCCAGGAATCGTCTAGTAATTTACAGAAAAAAAAAAAGGGAGATTAAAGAAAAAGCCTCTTGATTGAAAATCAGTGGCAACGAGGAGCACAAGAGCAGCATGATCTAACATGTTGGTAGAGGCGAGTTTACACGTTTTATCACAAAAGTTACCTGAACTATGGAAGGGTTGAATATAATATCAGGGACTTTGAATCTATCAGCACCAATTTCAAGTGTCCTGCACTGGCAGCCAGAAGTTAGGAAGTGATGTGATTATATAGAGACAGTAATAAAGTTTCCTGAGAGAAACTGGGGCTTACTGGCCATCAGGAAGCTCGTAAGATGTCATTGGAATGTTTGAATATGATTTGTCTGAAAAAAAAAAAAGCTACTAAAGCAAGTAACTGTTCACTTTACTTTCAGGTATCTTTGTCCCTGTGTCTTCTACGAAGCAGAGACTTGCAGGAAAATGATCTTGCTTACATGTATTGTAAGGTGTGAGATGAGCCAAATTAATATTTTATTATATAACCAATGATCAAGCAGAAACGAGATCTCTAAAAATCAACTCCCCAACTACTATAAATTCTGACCAATGATCAAGCAAATGAAGTAGACCAAAGAAAGACAGGAGAAAGAGATACCATCATAGGGAGTGTCTGGAACTCGACATATAGAATCCTTGATATCACTTACTATCATCCTCTGTTAAATAAATTAAGCCACCATGTCAGAAAGTAAAAGAAATTTTAAAAAGAAGGAAAGGAACCAATATTAATTATAGACCTGACAGTAGAGTTTGTAGCTTTCTGTGGTATCAGGAACTTCTACATCCGTAACCTGAAAGGACTCAAAGGGGAAATGAGATATAAATTTTGTGGTTCTTCAGTTTCATGCCACTAAAAAGAACCACATCTACTGTGCCACTAACAAACAAATTTCTCTTAACTTATCTGGAGCTCAGAAGCATAGAATTACCTGAAATTCTCCAGGTCGTATTTCCTTTCTCTTGAAAGAATATCTAGGTTTTATCTGCAAAAAGAGGAACCAGTAAAGATCAGAAGGACTGGATCCAGAATGGTGCGACAATAGTTGTAACTTACTTTAATCCCTTTACTCTCTAAGCTTTTCAGTAAGCAATCAGTGAGAAAGTCTCCACCAATTGGAGATGATATGACAGCCTGTGAATCAAAGTGTTGTCATAAACGGATGATAAGATATCACACAATTCAGCGCTACACTTATGCTTAAAAAATGGAACTTTCCAGAATCCACATTGGTAAGAACTCATATCAATGGCAGATCTGGACGAAAATTCTGCGATGTCAAGATCAACTTGTTCATGAAGAACTATCAACCAAAGAGTTAGATAGTTTGGAAATAAAATATGGCTACAAACAAATCCAGCAGAAAAAAATCCAAACAATAGAAACAAAATACACACAAACTTGGCTACCATCAAATCAAGTAATACATACCTTTTGAAGAACGTAACCCTCATGCACTGGCGAAATAGTCGTGGATCCTCCACCACTGAAAGGGGGAAAAGCGTGTATACACACGATCAGTGCTTCCCAGATGAATCATACAAATCGTTAATTAAGTACCCTTTCACAACATATCTGATACAAATAGCCTAAGCTTTTGTTTAATGTATGAAAAGCCTAGTTTACCTAGTTTTTCTTTTATCATGATGCGTTTTGTGAGTAATACTAGACCAAACAGGGATGATAAACGAGTGGAGAAAATTATTTGGCAAGAAGGTAACTACAAGCGCTGCTTCCAATTGCACAAGACAATATAGAGAATCTAAGCATGATGTGGGTGAACATATGATTTATTTACAAGTCTTTAATACTAAACCTTACCACACTGAAATCAAAAGTTATAACAGAATGACATGCCTGGCACAGAAATTTTTTTCAAAAAAGTTGAACGTCCACAGGTCTTACCAGTCAACAACCAAAGAAGTAGCTCGCCCCGAAGCAAACGATATAAGAATCTAGCACGCGAAGCAAGAGCAGAAAGAAATCAAAAGAGAAGGAAATAGACATTTCAGAATCTAGAATAAACAACAACAATATCAAAAAAGAGATGACACAAGGTTTAATAGAATTAAAAAAGTGATGGTACAAGGTAAAGGAAAATACAGGATTCTTTGCTGTAAATAATGCTGGCACTTTGTATTTTTCAAACATAATCTCAGCCACCCTGTTAGAGATATGATATAAAGAGAGAATAAGTTCCAGATTCCAAGATGAAATCAGCATGGATATAAGCTAGGAGAAACCAGACTTTTCTCTTTGCTGCTGTGTGTTCAAAGGGGCTCAGCTAGCAGCATTGGGTGCTCCTTGGGATCAATCATTAGACAATTCCTAAATAAATAAAATTTAAACATATGAGTTCATCAACCAACCATAAATGAAAAAGAAAAAGTTAAAACAATCAAAGACAAAAGAAACTAATAAAATATACGAGTTATCTAAAAGCATGGTCCCATACATTGTCCACCATATCCCAATCGGTTACAATGCCATCCTTTACGGGTGACAATATCTGGAGCACACACATGGAGAAACTAAAAATACATCCCTCGATTCTAACCAGCTTGAAGTTTGTAACATTAGTTCATAACAAAAACCCTGACCTCCATTTGATCGCGGCGAACATTCAAGTCTTGAGATCCTACATAAAGCTTCCGTCTGCCCTTTTCTTTATCAGACTCCACGACATTGGTTTTTGCATCCTCCGTATTAGCAGCATCATCAATATCCATTCCAGTTCCATCTATTTCTCCAATAACCTTATGACACAGCAACAACAACAAAAAACCTAAGTTTCTCAAATTGCTTGCTCTACACTGAAAGGACCTAACTTTAAGGAAAATAAACTCAATTGCAAAGAAAGGAAGCTGAGGAATGAGAAATAAGCCTTACGGAGGGGAAAACGGCTTTGGGGGCATCTTCTCCGGCGTAACCAGCTTTGCAAGTGTGGGAACCCAAGTCAACTACAATAGCTGACACTTCATCTGTCCAACAGATACGAACCCCGCCACGAAAAAGTTTAGACCTTGACGAGACGAACTCAAACGAAAAGGAAAAGATTTTGTGAGCTGAACTTTTACAATCAGAAATAGATTTTAAGGAGGGATAAAAGAAAACCTACCTCCGCCGTACATGGCTGCCGAAAAATGCGAGAGGCGGAGAGGTTTCTCTGCCGGAGCTTCGTCGGAGGGTTTAAGAACAGAACGGAAAGTCACTGTTTAAGTGAGTTTGATTTTGTCAGTGAATGAATAATTGAATATAAGAAGAAAAAGGACTGAAACGAAAAAGCCTGAATCTCGAGGGACTAAAACTAAAAGAAACTGGAAAATTAAGGGACTTTAAAATCAAAAGTTTAAACGCCGCTGCCGGGGATCGAACCCGGGTCACCCGCGTGACAGGCGGGAATACTTACCACTATACTACAACGACTTTGTTGATAAGGTTTCGTAATGCAACCTCAAAACTTTGTTAATGGAAATCTGCCAACTTTTTTTGGTCAAACTCGAAACAAAAAGCTGAAGCATCATTAACGAATGAACTCAAAAAACACCAAATAATATGTAAACATGAAGATCTCAAGTGTTGCACCAATTTGACACACATCATGTGTGCAATAACAAAACCTATCCACCGTCTCACACCAAACCTATTGATTCTGACCTTAAATACTCGAAAGAAACCCCCCACAAATCTCCAAACACAAAGAAGAAAGAAATTTTAGCTCCTAGAGAAAATGGCTTCTTCACCTCTCTTTATCACTCTTCTAATCTCCCTGTTGTCACCCTTCTTTCTCCGAATGGTTCTTGCTCAAGTACCATCTACATGTGCCTCCAGACTGCTTTCCTTAGCTCCATGTGGTCCATTCGTTCAAGGCTTTGTCCAGCTTCCCGCTCAACCTTGCTGTGACAGCTTAAACCAAATCTATAGCCAAGAAGCAACCTGTCTCTGTCTCTTCCTCAACAACACTTCTACTCTGTCCCCTGCTTTTCCAATTAATCAAACTCTTGCTCTACAATTGCCTCCGCTTTGCAACATTCCAGCCAATTCATCTTCTTGCTCCTCCACCTCCTCCCCTGGTACGTAAACGACACTTCTACTTTGTCCTTTATGGGATTCATTGGTTTCTTGAAACTTATGAGAAAGTTTTTGGTTTAAAGGAGGAGAGGCGCCAAGTGATTCATCCTCTGTTGCTCCACCACCTTCCTCCTCTGTTGCTCCACCACCTTCTAGCTCACCTGGTTCTCAAATCTCTCTAGGTGCAAAGAACAAGTCTCGTGTCGTGGGTAAGCCACTTTTTACCAAAGTTTTCAGTCTAGAACCAAAACATCAAAAAATGATACTTTTTCACTTTATTCAGCGACTCCAGTGGCTCAAATGGCACCAAGACCCACCAGTTTTATGGGATTAGGCTATGGTGTGAGATCCTCTGGTTCCAAGTCTGAGACTCAGTTAATCATCCTTACACTCGCAACTGTTCTACCAGCCACTCTCCTCCTCATCTGAGTGTCCATCTGCATCAAACTACCCTCTCGTCTTTAGTTATTCTCCTGTGTTATGTTTTCCCCATGATCTAAAAGCAACTTTATTAATCTACCTTAGATTTTTGAAAGAAAAGAGAGATTGTTGGTATGTTTCCCAAAGAACTTTGCAGTTATTGAAGTGAAATCACAAAACAGAACAATGAAGAACAATACTCTTCCTTTAAACTTTAAATCTGTAACATTATGAACACAAGTCACAAGCTCAAGATACACTTGGAATATGGCTTTTTAAAACACCCCAAAAGCAAAAAGGTTCAGTCTTTATAATTCTTTCTCTAAACACTGAGCTGATACTATTCCAAACTAGGCGCCACTTCTGTTGGGTTGGACTCGAACACATCTTCAGAGTTGGAACTCTCTGCTTCATCAAGAAGGTCACGAGATTGGATCGCCTCTTTATACACCGGCGTCTCTTTGAAATCCGTAGCACCTTCATTATACGTCCCCGCCGCAAGTCCACCGGAGATTAGCTGTCACAACATTCAAACCGTTGTCAATTTTTTATTGGATTAACATTTTTCAATTTGAGGAATTCTTATTCTAAAGTAATTGAAGTATTGAAATTTACCGCGAAAAGGATTCCGAAAGCCCATAAGTACTGAACGAAGAACCCTAAACCATCCCACTGCTCACCTTCCCAAGGATCTTTTTCAAGCCCAGGAAGATCCTTAATAGCAAATTTCGGCGCGTCTTTTGGATCACCTCTGAATCGAGTATTCACAACCGTCCTATCTGTACCGTCGTCGTCGACGTTGATTTCGATCTGAGACGGCGGGTTCTCGCCGTCGAAAACGCCGTTGTTCTCTTCCGGCTGGTCCTTGGTCGTCGTCGTGGGGACGAGGGTCCGACGCTTCTTGCTGTCGAACCGACCGGTCTGTGTGGAAGGTTTTTTTGCGGCAGAGACAACGTGGTGACGGGTTCTTGACGGGGAAGGGAAGTTTACGAGTCGGAAGGTTGAGAAGGGATTACGAGAAGAATCGATGAGGTCTTTGCAGTGGATTCTAGCTCCTCCGCCACCGCTGCTCACGGTGAGAGCCATTTCTTTTAGTTGTGTGGTTATGTGAGAGAGAGAAAGAGGGAATCGAGATTCGAAGAAGATAAGGAAAAACAAAACAAAAAAATTCGGGTTTATTACAACTTGACCCGCCCTGTCCCAAAGTCCCAACCCGAACCAAACTGACCCGCCTCTGTTGCCTATTTACACTTAAAAAAAAAAAAAAAAAACATAAATCGAAATATACAATCTTTTACAGCACAATCGTATAACACATTTTATGATTCAGAAATGCTAATATATCATCGTACAACAATTTAATAGAGTCAAGCAGGTTTTAAAATTGGTGAGGAACATATTAAAGAGACAAATAGACCATAATTTGAATTGTATATGACTAAATCATTTGTTTAGTCCTAAACTAACGACATGTTGGATAAAACCATCTAAATCCTTAACAGAGCTCCCACGTTCTTGGATAGCATCCAACGCTGCTTTCCTCAGCTCTGCCGCTTTGATCCTCTCCGTTTGCTTTCCGGTCACCGAATCAGCGAAAACTCTAGCTAACTCATCCGGGTCAGGCACCGTGTCAGGTCCTTCGCATGCACGCACGCCCACTTTCAGCTCGTCGACCACCAGAGATGCGTCTGTGTACTGGTCAGCTCTCATCGGCCAAGTCAGCATCAAAACGCCGGCCACAACCGCCTCCATCACGGAGTTCCAACCGCAGTGTGTTAGAAACGCTCCCACGGCTCGGTGACGTAGCACAGCCACTTGTGGAGCCCATCCTCTGATTACCAGACCTCTCCCAGCCACACGATCGTCGAAACCGTCTAGGATGTTCCCACGTGGTGAATCTTTCTCAACGGGCTCCTTTACGGCCCATACGAAGTGGACACCGCTTTTCTCAAGCCCAGAAGCGATGGCAAGCGTCTGCTCCTTGGTCAAAACAGCTTGACTTCCAAAGCACACGTACACCACGTGGTCATCCTCACGTGCGTCTAGCCACGACATCACGTGATCGACAGAAACAGAGTTCGGCCCGCCACGATCATTCCCAGATACTGGAAGAATTGGACCTACGGCCCATACACGATCATGGCCCATATCTCGCTTAAGATGCTCGAGATAGACGCCTTCCATGGCGGTGAAAGAGTTCACGAGGAGTCCCCAACTCGCCACGTTATCTGTAAACGCGTCTCTTATGAATTCCCAAGCTGGATCTCCGTGAACGTAACTTCTGTAAGTCGTAGAGAGGTGAGACCAAGGATATTTCGGACAGTTCGGGATCTTCGGAAACTCAAATATCTCGTCATCTTTTTTGTCGGTAGGCATCTCGATCCAGAGTGAATTGAGGATGCAGCAAGTGATAGCAGCAGAGGGAGAGAATTCGAAACGAGGGATTCCGAGGTTTTGGGTCCAGCCAAGGAAGAAATCAGAGACGATGGCTACAGGAGGAGAAGGATGAGAAGTAATCCAAGAGAGAAGCGGCGCGTGGAGACTACCAAGCGCGTGAATCATTGAAGTGAAGCCAGAAGGAGGTAGGTCTTGAACGTTTTCGACGCCTGAAGGGATTGAAGGGTGAGAAGGAAAAGGGAGGATAAGTGTTTCGATGTTAACTCCGGCGGAGATGAGCGGAGAGAGGTAATGTAAGTTCTTTGGGGTGACTAAGACGGTTATTGTTAAGGCGGCCCCGCCTCGGAGAGCTAAGCGGTGGGTGAAGTCGAGGAGGGGAATCATGTGGCCTTGCGCCGGAAATGGGAAGATCAAGACATGTGTTCTGCTGTTTTCGTAGGATACTGTCATAATGCCTTTTTTAGTTTTTAGTGATCTTTCTTTGTTTTTGCCGGAAGGTTTTGGACCTTTGGTGGAAGCAAGAGAAGATAAAGAGTGGTTTAAATAGAGGTTTGTTTTTAGTCCAAAAAAAAGAAAAAGAGGTTTGTTTAGCTGTTTAATTGCCGATTTGCGTTACCCAATGTCTTAGAGAAACTGCTTACGTCTATTTCGATATACCGTATGGTCTTTGATTTATTTAGGATCCAATCACACTTTAGAAGAGCTTAGCTGGGACTGAACATATTTACGTAACGTCTCTTAACATTGTTTGCTTATTGTAGCAAAGTAGATCCTCGCTTCTCATAAGTACACGTCCGAAAACATATAATTTTGGTATTAACTTTTAAAAAGCAGAGAGAGTAGGTGCACGTCTTTGGTAGGTACTAGCCAATAGAAAGTAGAAACTGTGTTACTACATAATACAACAATTAGTTTTTTGCAAAAGCCTCAAGGAATGGCCAAGTCAGATGAGTCGGGTTAAATTTTAGGTGTAACCCTTTGGTCTCCTCGTCAGTCACTGACAAATCCCAGTTCACATGCGATAGCAAGATGGTCGCTTCCCCATTTCTGCAAATTGGCATCAGTCAGAAACTTGTAGGCAACTCTCCAAACAATCATGGTTTTGTACCATTCAAATTGACGAGAGATTTTACAGTCTTTATAGCGAATTACTTACTCAAGAAAGAAAAGGACTCAGAAAAGAAGAATACAAATCAAAGATAGTTAGCCACTACTTAGCCTTAGGCCCTAGCCTAAGTAAAAAAACATATGATACCTCACTTGGTAGTCCACCTGTCCTTCTCAAAACATCAGTTGGCAAGGTTTCAAGAACCCTGACAGGAACAAGTTCCTTTGTGTGCCTGAATTCAATGCCTCAGATTAATAATTACAAATTTATAATATAAAATAAGCATACTGTATATCACCACAGACTTAAGCTTATATAATCAAAGCTCCGATCAATGTATCAAAACAGACTTACCATATATAATCAACTGTTCCAAGGAACCTGGAGTGATATGTTGTTGCCAATGGTTCACCGCGTTGATCTCTCGTTCTATGGGTACCCTGAAGATCTCAGGTCTTAGCATACTAAAAGGAAAGCTACAACATCTACAATATGTCCCTATGCGTTTCTCAGTAGTATAAAAGAAAACCACAGTTCCTAAAGCTGTTCTGCGTGTGTATGGTTTTCTATTCTTGAGATATGGGAAACATATTTTAGTATTCCTGCAATACAGATTTTAACTCTTTCGATACGTCCAGAAGTCGAGAACAAGAAAAAAAAAACACTTACAGGTACTCCACTATATGCGCTATGAAGCTTCAGTTGATGTTTGACATGGGTGGTTGCTTGACCACCAGTTGCAAGCTGTAGTTCTTCCTGGCTCCAATCGTTGGGTAGTGATCCGGATGTAGATACTGCAGCACTGAAGAAAGGGAAGTTACACTAAATTGAGATAGAAAATTAATCTGAGAATTACCTGGTTGATAAAGCGCAAACCAAAGAAGAGATATAAGTAATCTATCAGTTCATCAGGTGAACAGAAGGGATCCCAGACACATTACTCAGAAAACCAAAGATCTCAGTGAGTTTCAAATTACCTAACTGCATAATGGTTTCTAAATGACCTCTCATTTGGTTCCACATCACACTGGCCAGAAATATGCCTGCGGTCGTGTAATTGTGTATCCAACTGTCCAAATTGGAAAAGGGAAACATAGAGTTCATTCTAACTATCCCAGAAAACAAAGGACCAAAATAATGACAATGAGAAATGTAAAATAAAGAGTCCAGGACACTTAATGATACTCACATCAGCTGACGCTATGAAATCATAGATTGCACTCTGTCCAACATTTCAAGATTAAAGTTTTAGAACAGTATCAGCTAAAACAATAAGTAATACAACAACCAAAAAAAGGTGGTAGAGATAACCTGTGGAGTGCTATTCAGATCACCTGCAATAGCCACTGGAATATTTCCCCATTCCTCTGATAACTTGTAAGCCTTCTCCAGAAAGAGTCTTACCTAAAGGTTATGACATATCAACTATCAACAAAATGAGTGGGCTACTATTTCAGTGAAGCTTCATCTATACTGCCAGGCATTGATGTACTACTGATAAATACCATAAAATAATACTAGCTAAAGAATGGACATTTCTAAACTCAGTACTGACAACAATGCTCTACAGATTCCATGGATAAGCGAATTTCATCAGAATTTTGTAGGGATGTAGAAGACATACCTGGCCTAGCTTGATATCCCCACGCTTAGGATTGAATAGGACATGTATATTCCCAACCACTAGCCTTCGAGGACTTGTACACGTTTGCCTATCAAGCAACCAAACATGGTAGTAAGCATAAAATTTAGCAAGGATCTTAACAGTAACATAAAATATTCACTCCAGTAAAGGAATCAGAAGAGAACTCAGACATACTCTGAAGATTCCTCATGGTTCATCTGTTCCGTAATACACAATCAAATAAAGTTAATTAATTGACAAGGATGGAAACTATCGAAAATAAAGCAATTAGCATTTTTGCAAACACAACACGATGGGTAAAAACTATAGAATAATCCCCACAATGAAGATGCATCTTGTCATATCTCTGTGTGTGGGGGACGAATGCACTTTAAATGGTCCATACCTCTAAAACACAAAGTTGAGCAACATTGTTTCGCATCCCAAATTTATCAAACTCTATATGTTGATGGTCTAGAAGTTCAAATCTGCATTCACAACAGAATTCTACCATGAATGATGAAACTAGGGAGTAACAAAATAAACAACATTGAGAAAAAATAAGAAAGCAAAGCTATGAGCCATTTAACTATTTATTGTGACGCCAACGTCAAAGTTGGTAACATCACACAATGTGAACAGAGAATAAATAGAACTGGAAGATAAAATTTCCCTGGCTCCAATAGAGAAACATTCCCTTTAAACAATACAAACGGCCAGATTCCTGACTCCGGCATATAGAGACTTCCCACCACAAAAAAGGATCCTAAATGGAAATAACTGAACTTACAATTTCTCTTTCCAGAATATAGCACAACCATCACTCGCTTCTCCAGTCCGACTCTAAAAAATACTAGCTATATGAAAACTGCACCAGCAATGCATATGAAGTAATAAAAGATTTTGAGTCGTATATATACCTTGTGAACACCTTGAAATCCCCTATTTTTAAGAAGACCATATAAATCATCAAAGCGGTCAACCTCCTGCAGTAAAATTGGAACATGAGAATGCAACCAGACTTACATATCTTTCTGTACAAGTAGTTGGAAACAAATAAAACTAAAGTAACGTCTTCTCAACATAAGGCAGTTCCACTGTTACTTCATTAATAAAACCCAAATTCTCGACATAAGAGAAATCCTTTAATGAACCATACATATATAAGGGAGATACATAGCATAAACCCCCAAGAACTTGCCTGAAGACATAAGATGCTTGCATTATAGCGACTAATCTCCTTGCATATGAGATGTTTCCGTCTACTCCAATCTAAGTGCTTCGGGGGGACGTTGTAATACAAATCCATGTGGTTCAACGCATTGTCAACCCCAAGTAGATTGTACGAAACTAAAACTACTTTATCTGAGAATTTTAAAGAGCATGATTAAGACGGAAGATATCAAAAATTTCATAAACAGTGGGTTAAAAAAGGAATGTAATACTTCGTGAATTAAGCATATAAACTGCATTGATTCCGTGTGATTGCGATTGCAAAGCAATGCACTGACCTTTGAGATTTTCAAAATTGGCTGCGGAAAACACCCATTCGCGGTCACCGGAACTCGAGATTCTCTCCTTTGTTCTTCTGCGCCGCCGTCGAGAAGATTTACTAGGTCTAATTGGTTTACAACAACGCTGGCTAGAACCCGGTGCAAGAGGAAGGTGACGTTTTAAGGTTATTGACTCATGTCTATACAATACCTTCTCAGATAATTCCGAAATCGGACGTCGCTTCCGCTTAGTGACGGTGATAGAGTTCCTCGTCGTGTTCTTCCGCTCGTATCCACTCATCGCAATCGAAGCAAGGCGGCGCGTGGGCTAATGCGTTACTCTTCTAGTTCGTGGGCGACGACGGCTTGTTGGAGTGATATTTGGGTTTAATGGGCTAAATCATCTTTCCTTTGTTCATATTGGGTTTCTAAACATTTTATTGGTTCTATTCAGAATGTATTCCTATTACAGTATTTATGAGCCTATCCTAATGAGAGCTCGTTTTTCTTCACATGTAGCATCTTTTGTTATGATTTTTTTTTCAATGTCAGTTTATTATTAACACATTGTGTAATTTTTTTCTCGATTCATTTGATAAACATAGAGTTCTCTTATTACAACATATCTTTACCTCAACATCAGCCAGTGTTTTGACCCCCAAAAAAAAAAAAAAAAAAATCATACAAGTTTTTAACCATTTCAACTTTTCAAGTAATATCAACAACATATATACACTCTAATCATATCTTACAAGCGACACTTTCACGAGTATAAACACTGAAAGAGTAGCACATTAATAATCTATCAATCAATCAATCTATAATAAAACTGCAACTAAACAAGTAAATTGCTTGAAGCAATGCAAAGTATAACGATAGGTTATTCTTGAAATCATAAGTGGCCTGCTACAACCATCGGCCCCCAAGATCTTTCAGTTACATTTATAGTTCAGTACTTGAGTAACGATTAAAACTGATGAAAGTGTTGATTGAAGTAAAGTAAATTACATCACAGCGAAAGTGACGTCCTTTTTACGAAACGACCTTTGATTCGAGGTCTCTGCTCGGCGTTAAGTTTGCGAACCTCGTATCTTATCTTCTTCGCGAACAACCTCGTTCTCCGTTTCTCTCTATACCTCAACACCCTCGCCTCTCTCTCCACATCTGATCCTCCTCCGTCTCTCCCTTGCCGCCGTGTCACTGATCCGACGGCCGACGTCCACTCTTCAAACCCACCCATCACATGTGACGGATACGTGTTCCCTTCCAACTGGATCAATGAATTTTAAACGTTAGTTTCGTATTTCAATCTGATTAGCTAAAAATCAACCGTAACTTGATCCACTAGTAAAGAATAATATAGAGATGGGATAGAGAGAGATTACCAAACAATCGTCGAGATTAAACTCCGGTTTGATTTCGGTTTTCCACGGCGAACCATGATTATCCCAAGCACTAATCACAGCTTCATAATCTAATCTCAGAAACAAACTCGTCTTTCTATCTTCATCCTCACATGCTTCTCGATCACTACCCTCCGTCGATTCTCCATGTTCACACTTGACTTCTTCTTCTTCTTCTTCTTGTGCTTCTTCCTCATCTTTAACCCTCTTCAAATCCTTACTATCAAACTCAAACCCTACGTTAGTCTCTTCTTTGACGACTCCAATACTGTTTAATTCCTTGACTCCCAAGGAAGGTTGTTCTTCCTCAAGTAAGCTCTCCACGTCCATAACGATCTCCTCAAGATCCATATCGAACGGCAAGAACCCAACTAAACCTTCATCGTCCATGATTGCCTTCTCGATTTCTCCAAATTCTCCGCTACTATTGGTGATATGGACTCCATCAGGAACTAAACCGAAGCTGTCATCATCAATCACCATGTCCGAGAAAGGATCAAAAACCGGTACGCAGCAGCTCAGACTCGCATCGTTCTCATCTGTAGAAGAAAACGAGAAAACCCCATCTTCTTCTTCTTCTACGCCAAGATCCGGAACAAGAGGATCGTTAGAATTCTTATTCACATCTTCAATCTGAAAGAGCTTGTTCCTAGGCGTTCTCGCCTTTCTCCTGAACCCTTCGTACCACACGGAAGTCGTCTTTTCTGCCGTCTTTGTCTTCATCGGAAGCTCCGGAGACGAAGAGGATTGTAACCGGACACGTTCGTGACGTTTCGCCAAACTGTTAGCCGAGTGGATGGAAGCGTCGCAGCTTTGGCATAGGAAAGCATCGTCAGCTGGGCAGTACCAACTAGCACGTGATCTCTTCATGCACAAGTCGCAGCCACGCGCCGCTGTCTTCCCTCCCGTCACGCTCGGGGCACGGCTCTCCACATCGACCACCATCGTGATTCGTGAGCTAGCTCTATGTGTTTATTACACAGTTAGAGAGAGTTTCTGAAATGGAGAGAGGGGCCTTGAGAAGAACAAAAGAGTATGTTTTATATGGTTTTGCAAAGAACGAACATTGGTGGTGTGTGTGGCGTCTTGAATTTCTATTTAAATTTTCATTTTCATTATCATTTTATTACATTGTGTGGTCTTAATTTATTTGGAGTCGTCGTGATAGAAATAGAAATGAAGCTCTTAACAATCCTATTCATATAGTATAGTTTTATGTATATAAGTTGTATATAGTTTTATGTAAGGGGATTTTGAAGAATTTTCGAACTATCATTTATATTTTAATTGTAAAATATATTACTCAAATATTCATTAAGCATATACCCGATTCTCTTAATCAAGATTCAAGCGCAACTCATGAGAATGAACTTTTGTAGTTTGTTGTCTCTCAAATTTCTAGGATATAGTGGATAGCTAGCTAGTTCATGGCAATAAACTTCATTTCCCGTAAATTTGGAGAGAAAACTGTTGTAAATGGGTGTTTTTGTTGTCGGCAAATACATACTGTTGTAGAATGGTAAATAAAAACTTATCAATTAAAATAATTTGTGGTGCTGTATGGAAATATTGAATTGAAAAAATTAAGAATCTGTGTGGATGTGTTGCATAGCTATTGGTTGGTAGATCAAGAGGAAACTCCAGGTAGGATCCACTGGAGATTAAAATCTCCATTTTGATTGGCTGGAAAATACGGTAATCCCTATTCTTGCACCCTGATTGGTCAAGTGTCCTTCTTTGGAGATTCTCACGCGAGCCCACCCTTCATTTGATCAGTTTTTTTAGCTTCTCTCTATTGTTTGTTTTTTGAGTCTTATTTTATTTTTGTTTGTTTTTGCGTTTGCATGACCGCACCCCGCCGGACCGTGAACACTTTAAACGCAGAAAGTTACATTTCCAGTAGCATGTAAAGAGTACATTTTTAGCTACGTAGAGTAAACAACATCCTTTTGTGTGGAACTTCAAACTAACGTTTTGTAGATCCATTTTAGCTATCTCTAATATGCATAATATTTGATGATTTTGAACAACGATTATCTTTCTTTTTTTTTCTTTCTTTTGGGTAAAAAAACAAGGATTATCTTTTGCGGTCCTTATGAAATTTCACACTGCTATTTTTTTCGTAATTGTATTTGTTTGCAATTGATATATACTTATTTGAATCTTTTTATATTACTACCTACAAAATTAATTATAAATCATTTATTGTGGATCTAACATAACGGAAGTCAGATGGATTTCTAGAGTCCTTAAAAAAGAAAGGAATTGATTGTGGTTATAAAGCGACGTTTCAATATATAATAATAAAATCAAGAGGTTGTAACTTCATCGATTTTGTTTGGCAATTTTTGCAGTTTACTTCGTCCATACACACAAACGTTTACATATATGAAGAAGACAAAAGAAAAAAAAAACAACGAAACAAACAATTCTACGACTTTTATCCAAAAAAAAACAAATTTACGCCACATGACCATTGAACATCTCTATCATATAGGGCTCGTTCCTCTCCTTTACACTACCATTCTTATTTATATACAAAGGTATATGTGATATGATATACATACCTCATATATATCACCAACGAAGTTGAAATCTGCACAAAGTTAATTATGATATATGATTACAATCAAAATCCGACTGTCGTGGATCTCATGTTGAAAAAGGTAGTACATATTTATTCATCGACGTCGAGTGATCAGTTTGGGAGGTGGAGGCACAATATGCGTCAGAGGCTTAAGGCTTTTTCTCTCTTTCGGGCTATTATCATCGACCGGTTTAAGTTCGATTAGCGATATGATAAATATCATCGACCGATTAGCGATATGATAAATATACTTATCATCAAGACGACTTTCTTGTATCTTCCTGATCTATGGTGTGAGTAATAAAGTATTGTGTCATGTATATTTTTATTCAAAATGATATTGAAGTTTTTGAGTATCTGTGTTCTTAATCAATGATTTTGAGTATAAAGTATTATTGTAGCTCATTTTTTATATAGCAAACGACACAAGTAAAGTTGAACATAGAGAGCTTCTTCAAACCCGACGTGGTGCCCAAAACCACACATGATACTATAATACTATTGTGTCTGTCCGTTGGTCGTTGCAACCTTTTTTTTTTTGTTTATGTTTCTGAAACACAGTCGTTGCAACCCTAAACCATAGTTATAACTTATAAGTTAATCGTTTCGCAATTCCAAAATTCATAATTTTCTGTTAACACTCGTTAATACGTATAATGTTTTTGGGTTCTCCAATTTTAGGCATACAAAACTAGCCACGTGTCATAAACCCGTAGAAACGATTGGAGGAAGCTAAAAAGGACTTGTTAAAGCTACTTGCCTTCCTCCTACATTCGCGCTATCTCCCTTCGTACACAATCCCCAAATAAAATCTTTTTTTTTTGTTTTTTGGTTTTTTTTCTAATCTGTATTTAATTTTTCTATCATTTAAAAAATATAATCTGTGTTTAATTTTACTAATATCGCTAATTAATCAGATCAACCCACATTTCCATCAGCACGTCTCCTTCCTTCGTCTCTCTGTTTTCCTCTCAGGTTTAGACCTCCTCAACGTTCGTTTCCAAGCTTTCCCCCAGAAATTTTCTAGGTAATTTAAGAGAACAAACAAAAAAAAGATCGCATCTTTTTCTTCCTCCTCCTTGTATGCCATGATTTGCGATTTTGCTGATTGCGACTTTAACTATCTTTGGACTTAGTTTTTCAATGTTGATTTTTTCTTCTTTTTTTTTGGCTCTTGCATGTTGCACCAATGTCCCCGTTTGTTCATCTTCTGGTAGGTTCGTTTCTAGTAGCTTGTTTCCTTTTTTCTTGCATTGGTGGAAGTTTCTGAGCTTTGTTTTGTTTGAACGTCTTGCTGTTTTGGTTTTTTTTTTTCTTTTTTTTTTCTTAATCCTCGATTTAGTATGTTATGCAGATATTTTTAGTTTTGGCTTGCGTGTTGCTCGATTGATGCTGTACAACGGGTGTGAAATCATTCGAAGTTTAGTGGGTATTAGAAAAAACAATCTCACCTTGGAATCCCTAGATTAATGAAAATGAATTGAAATTTGATTTATATTTGGAAATGTGAGAAATTTGGAAATATTCTCAATTTCATAACAATGATCCCTGTCGGAGTGCAGCTTTCAGAAAAAGCTGATTCAGGTTAACTATGTTGATGTCAGTTAAGATTGTTATTTACACAATAAAAGCTGATGATTACAGAGATAGTTTTATCTGAACACTTCTGGTGCCTTTTGATCATATTCTTACTTGCGGAAAAAGAAAACTAACGGTGCCTTTTGGGATTTCTTATAGCTTGCTCTTCTATATATGTGTGTGTTTTTATGAATTTTGTCTGATGCTCATTTTCTTTCTCTCAATCAACCATGCTCAGGAGTTGTTGCTAAAGAATGAAGCTTTTTTGGGTATATTAAGTGTTCCCATAAGTTTGATTTGGAGATCGTCGCGCGATGAATCCAATGCGTGATCAACCCGGCAGCCCTTATGGAGAGTCAACTCCTCGTAGTCCGTTTTCTCCCTTCTCACCATTATCTGGAGACGAAAGGCATAGAAATCTGCCTGATTCAAAAACTCCCCGTAGTCCTTTCTCTCCCTTTTCTCCATTATCCGGAGATGAAAGGCACAAAAATCTGGCAGAGTCCAAATTTCAGCAAGCCCTTGCCAATGCTGGTCAATTAGGTTTTTCTTTTTTTCTGTCATTTGGCAAACCACTTTTACTGTCTTGCTCCCTACATTCTTATTCAGTGGATCTTTAATTGTCTTCTCTTTATGGCAGATCCATCTTCCCCTGGATCGATGCACCATGGAGGGCACAAGTTTCATGAGGTTTTCCAAATGAAACAGGGGCGTTATGATCTTCAAGCCTCCAAGATTTCTGAAATGATGAAATCTAGTAGCTTAGATGTAGTTCCTCTAAACTTGTTAATGAATATATATCCTCATTTCCTTTGAAAATATATATGGTTTTTCTTTTTAGAAGTATCTTTACAACGTCATGGGATTATGTTTGATGCAGAATGCTCCTACGCAGTCACTTCTTAGTGTCTTGAATGGAATTTTAGATGAAAGTATTGAAAGAAAGAATGGTGAAATCCCTCAGGTGCTTGAATCCTAACAATTCAGATCATATTGTATCGTGCCTTCATTTATGCTTTTACTCCTTGGGATGTATTCTGACAAAAGCTACGATGACCAGCGTGTGGCATGCCTCTTGAGAAAAGTCGCGCAGGAGATTGAGCGACGTATATCAACTCAAGCTGAACACCTAAGAACGGTATGATTTTGTTTACTTGAAGAAAGTGGTTAATATCATTGCTCGATTTCTGATTTTGCGAGTAATTTCTTCTTGTATGTACAGCAAAACAACATATTCAAAACTCGCGAGGAAAAATATCAGTCAAGGATCAATGTCCTTGAAGCCTTAGCATCAGGAAGTGGTGTAGAACATGAGGTATCATTTGTTAATTTTTAATATATTGTGTTACATAGTTTTCTCTACTGATCAACGTATTTTTTTGCCAGATTGCTACACAACAGCTTAGACAGATAAAGGTACAATTATACTGCGAGTTGCTTTGTGAACTGATTTTAGTAAAAATGGTACTTCTACTAGGCGTGACATGAAATTAAATTTTGACATGGAGTTTTCTGTATGTTAGACTGAAAAGTCAATGTGGGAAGAAAAGAAGAAAAGTGAAGAGGAAGATATGGTCAAGCTAATGAAGCAAAATGATCAATACAACCTTGAAATTGCTGCGCTGAAGCAAGAATTGGAAGCATCTAAAAAAGAATATGAACAACACTACTCGCAAATGGAAAGCAAAACAATGGTCGGTACATTATACTACGAGTTGATTTCTTGATTGACTTAAACTAAAAAATGTGTTGCTTCTAATGGTGTGTTGACATGAATTTACCTTAAAATGGTGATTTCCTGTATGATATAGACAGAGAAGTCAAAGTGGGAAGAGCAAAAGAAAAACGAAGAGGAGGATATGGCCAAGCTATTGAAAGAAAATGATCAATTCAACCTTCAGATTTCTTCATTAAGGCAAGAGCTGGAGACAACTAGAAAAGCTTATGAACAACAATGCTCGCAAATGGAAAGCCAAACAATGGTCGCTACAACAGGACTTGAGAGCAGGCTGAAGGAACTTGAACAAGAAGGGAAAGTGGCAAACACTGCGAAAAATGCCCTTGAGGAAAGGGTTAAAGAGCTTGAACATATGGGGAAAGAAGCACATACTGCTAAAACTGCTCTTGAGGAAAAGATGAAACAGCTTCAACAAATGGAAATAGAAACAAAAACTGCTAATACAAGCCTTGAAGGAAAGATTCAAGAGCTTGAACAAAACCTTGTAAATTGGAAGACTAAAGTAAAAGAAATGGAGCAAAACTCTGAGTCCAAGAACCAAATTTGGAATCAAAAAGAACTTTCCTATAGAAGCTTTATTGATAACCAGTCGCAGGCACTACAGGTATGATTATTCAAACTGTTTGCTACATTAATCATTGTATTATACAATAATCTATGGTTGGCTAATTAAACTGGATCCCAGGAGTTGAGATTCTATTCAAGATCCATCAAGCAAGAAATATTGAAGGTTCAAGAGAACTATACTGAACAGTTCAGCCAATTAGGTGAGAATGGTCTAACTGATTGCTTCTGTGATAAATTTCTCTTGAACTTAAAATTTCTGTTGTGTTAATAAAGTCAATCTGTCTCTTCAGGGAATAAACTCATTGAACTTAGCAATGCTGCTGAAAACTATCACGCTGTACTAACTGAAAACCGGAAGCTTTTTAACGAGCTTCAAGAGCTGAAAGGTACTGAGGATCATGTTAAATATTGTTTGTATGTGTACATTTTCGAACTTTTTTGCAGTCCGTAATTTCTATAGTTATGACTTGCAGGAAACATCAGAGTGTTCTGCCGGGTGAGGCCTTTTCTTCCTGGACAGGGTGCACCAAACACAGTGGTGGAGTATGTTGGGGAGGATGGAGAATTGGTAGTTACCAATCCAACTAGACCCGGAAAAGATGGTCTTCGTCAGTTTAAGTTCAACAAGGTGTATAGTCCAACTGCTACTCAAGGTATGTTCATCTGTTGCCTCTTCTGTCTTTATTCTGGTTCATATATCCTTATGATTTTCATTTCGGTTTTGTATGATCTATGTCTATGTGAGGATACATGGTACATCTCGAGACATAATATTATATTGATATCACCAAGTTCATTTGACATTTTGGATACTTGCAGCTGATGTCTTTTCAGACATAAGACCGCTGGTGAGATCAGCACTTGATGGCTACAATGTTTGTATATTTGCATATGGCCAGACAGGATCCGGAAAAACTTATACAATGGTATGTTCTCATTTTTCTTTACTTAGTAAGATTTCATAGGAACAACCTCATGCGTCTTTACCTACATTCACATTCTTTCAGACTGGTCCAGACGGAGCAAGTGAAGAGGACTGGGGAGTTAATTATCGTGCTCTCAATGATCTCTTTAAAATCTCTCAATCTAGAAAGGGAAACATATCATATGAAGTTGGGGTGCAAATGGTGGAGATATACAATGAGCAAGTGCTCGATCTGCTGTCTGCTGACAATACTCAAAAGAAATATCCTTTTGTTTTAAATCCTGCAGATTTTGTCTATTTTCTTATTCATTGCTTGTGGAGCCATTCTTTTTGTTTTCCTTGACCTGCACACACTAGGGATCCTTTCTACAACTCAACAAAATGGCCTGGCTGTGCCTGATGCAAGCATGTATCCTGTGACATCAACTTCAGATGTAATTACATTGATGGACATTGGACTACAGAACCGAGCCGTTGGTTGTACTGCCTTGAATGAAAGAAGTAGCCGCTCTCACAGGTTCTTCTTCGTATTGACCCCCTGGTACAACAAGAAATATGTTTTTTCATCAGTTCTAATTGTTGGTTACAATGTTGTTATGCAGCATTGTCACTGTTCACGTTCGCGGTAAAGATATGAAGACCGGGTCTGTGCTATACGGTAATCTTCATTTGGTGGATCTGGCAGGAAGTGAGAGAGTAGATCGCTCTGAAGTTACAGGAGACAGACTAAGAGAAGCACAACATATAAACAAGTCGCTCTCATCTCTTGGAGATGTGATATTCTCTCTTGCTTCAAAGAATGCACATGTACCATATAGAAACAGCAAGCTAACACAGATCCTCCAAAGCTCTCTTGGTTAGTTAAATTCATCTAGTAATACCGTATTCTCTGAATAAAGTATTATCATAACGACTGTTTCTATGCAATGTGATTAATAGGAGGACGAGCAAAGACCTTGATGTTTGTGCAGCTCAACCCTGACGCTATTTCATACTCAGAGTCAATGAGTACCTTGAAATTCGCAGAGCGTGTCTCTGGAGTGGAACTTGGTGCTGCAAAGACCAGTAAAGAAGGTAAAGATGTTCGAGACTTAATGGAACAGGTAAAAATAGACACACTTTAGCTCCTGTCTCTCCATAATATATCTCTCTTACCATTAACTCTAAGATTCAATGAGTCATTTGTTGTTTTACAGTTAGCGTCCCTTAAGGACACCATAGCGAGAAAAGACGAAGAGATAGAGAGGCTTCAGCTGGTAAAAGAAACTCATCCTCCTCCTCAGAGACTTCAGAAATCAATGGTGAGAAGAAAGAGCATAGGACATACCGATGACATAAACTCGGACACAGGAGAATATTCATCACAACAATCAAGATACTCTGTTACTGACGGTGAGAGTTTAGCCTCTTCCGCCGAGGCAGAGTACGATGAGAGACTAAGCGAGGTTACGTCTGATGCTGCTTCTTTCGGAACACAAGGATCTACGGATGTTGCTAAAAGACCACCCAAAATCTCAGACAGGTTACAATCACATAATTATTTATGTACTATTGTCGGTTTTAAAAGACCTTTCTCTTCTTCTAACGTTTTAGTAACCGGGTTCAATTGTAGAGCTAAGTCGATAACTGCAAGATCATCTACGAGTATAACACGACCGCTCGATAAACTTCGAAAAGTCGCTTCAAGAACATCATCGACCGTTGCTAAGGTCACGTCCGGCTTGTCGTCATCAAGTAAAGGCTTATCGTCATCAAGTAAGATAACTTAACCTATACGGTTTGAAGACTTTTTTTTTGTTGTAAAGTATTGTCTAATTATCAGATTAATTAGAACGAGTTTTGTCTAATTGATATGTTTTTTTTTTCTTAGGCATTAAGAAGACGGGCAGTACACCTAGTTTGGCAAAGTCTTCAAAGCGGTGGGCGTAAATCACGCTTTTACTCCTAGCCGTCATACGTACATTACACGTAACATTGCATATATCATCAGTTTGTTTTGTTCTTCACAAAATTTGACCTACGTATAAAACGCTCTTAAAAGATTTCCGACATTTTTTCTCTTTCCATTTTCCTATAATGTATGGCTTCGATTGGGACTAGAAGTTTTGTAATATCTTTATGTGAGTTATGTAAAAATATTGTAAATACACGAATTTTTCTATGCTCAAGGATTCTCTTTATGAGTTTTTTTATTAACAGACTTTATACAAAACAAATCGCAGTTATATTAATCTCTTGTGATCCGTAACTTTAATAACAACAAATAATGTCACAGAGTTTACTTTGTTATATTACAAATCACAACCTAAAAAATCCATCACCATCATCAGTATGGAACAAATAATTTGATTTTTTCCTCCTTATAAAGTAAAATACCTAACCTTGTGATTCCTTGAGTGTACAAGTTCCCTAACCTAATAAAGACTGTAGATTACTTAACCCCAAAAAAACTAAAAAGTAGAAAAGATATTAGAGCAAAGAAAAGGAAAAACAAAGAGAAAGTATAAAGTATAAAGAACTAAAGCAATCTACAGTATATCCCTATCTATTTATTCGATATGGGTGCTCTTTATTTGTGGGTTGTTTTGTCTAAAAGATCTCCTACAATATGAGGTGTAAAAAACAGGAAAATTAGAAAGAAATAAAGGAAGAAGAAGGATCATGTGGGTGGGGAAAGAATAAAGGGTATATTCTGAGCTGAGAGATGTGATTAAAATAGTAGTAGTAGGGTCAAAATGTCAATGTGGAGGGGATAAAAGTGGAGTGGAATCTCTTTGAAGTGCCTTTCCACCTTGAGCAATCTTAACTTTGCTCATCTTCTCTTCACACCAATGCAACTTCTCTTCATTCATCTCATTCATCCTCAACACTCTTGACACCACTTTCAAATCTATTAATCCCATCAGTATCTCCATTTCCTCCTCTATACTCATCTTCTTCTTCCTCATGTATTTTCCTCCTTTACGCATCTCTTTCAATTTCGCCTTTTTCTGTTCACAATATAATATATTGATTAACATTATGTTGGTAGTTAAGATTAGACTCTTCACGACAAAAGAAAAGGTAGTGAAACACATTATTTAATAATAATGATACAATTTGAAAAAACAACTTGCTTATCTCTTGGTTAATTGTGATTGTCGTGTTTTTAGGTTAATGAGTCTAGCTAACTAGTGTAATATGTGGAAGTTGAATTATAAATATATATAGGCTGACCTTTGTGTTGACTTTTTTCATGAGATGGACAAGGGTTGGATCAACGGAGCCTCGTTTACTTCTCCCGAAAAAGGCTTTGATGATCTTTTGACAAGGCTTCTCTTTATCCGCTTTGAGAAAATTCATGAACGTTCTTATGCACTCCTCCATTATCATCAAGAACGAAGCTGACGATATCCTCGACTTGAAACCCTCCTCTTTCTCTTCTTCCTTCTCCTCCTCTTCCTCATAATCTACGACGTATTTATCCAAAACGATTTACATTTTTTCTCGAAGCTAAATATTTTCATCTCGAATAATCATCATATTTACAAGCATTGCACTCAATGTTTACTTTATAATTAGTTAGTTACCTTGGTATTCAGGAACAAGAAGCAATTTGGGAGCAAGTGTTCGCATTCGGGCATAAATCTCTGGCCTTCTTCCATGTTCGTAAGGCTCGTTCTCCACGTACCTTTGTAATAAAATGTGAAACGTACGGAATTGGTCGGCGATTCCGGCGGGACTTCCGATGTCGTTGAAGCTTCGTTGCGTGGATGATCGTTTCCTCTCGAAGTTTTTGTAGTTCCAACTTAGAGCTTCCCATGTTAGACATATCTGCGCCACGTAAGCTGATTCTAGTTCCGCGTAGGGGTTTGGTCTCGACCCATTGCCACCTGGATATTGTTGTTGTTTTTTCTTGTGTCCGTTTGATGATAACTTGTGAACGATCCTCTCCGATATCGATCTTGGCTCCACCATGATTGACTTCAACGATTCTGTAAATGGGACAAAAATAAGAAAATAAAAACCAAAATCTTACGAGCATGATTCTAGATTAAAAATACATTATTGTATACTATATTACATGATGAAATTACACCTGTTTCGTGAAGCTTCTGAGCAGAGATTCTAGTGAGAAAAGTCATTTCTTCGTCATATTTTTGGAAGACGGTGTAAGATTCCCATTTAGGGCAACTCCGGCGAGAGGAGGTTGAGAAAGGGTCGTCGGTCTTTACAGAGTTTCTCCATTCCGATGAGCTTTTTGACGTCGACCCATTCGTGCATGACTCTCCAAATATCTCTCCTCTCTCTTTTTCTTCTTCTTCTTCCTCTAATTCCTCTGCTTTGATCTCACTCATGTCGAAGCCTGGTGCTGGCTGTATCTCCTCGTCATCCTTGATTCCTCCATTAGACACACACAGTCCTGCTAGTAATACAACAAACAAATCCAAGTACGGTTAGTTCAACCGGTTTATTATTGAATTTTAATCATTAATATTGAGTATTGTTTGTGAATAATAATTTTTAATTATAATGAATTTTTCATCAAAAGCGTCACATGAATATACTAAATATCTAATAATTAAATTCGATTATAAGACTTGTCGTTTCAGATTCTTATTTCGTTGTTAATTTATTGAAAGAAAAATCAATGAAACCGAGTTAATCTTGGTTACTTGTAGAAATAAAGAAAACAACTTTTGAAATTTGCATGTGAAGGGATGAGGAGGGAGGGAGAAATCATAATACCATTGTAGCTTTTGTCATTGAACACCAAACCACTTTGGAAGCGAGAGGGACCACGAGTACTAGCACTAGTAGTATTTGGTTGCTTATTACGAACCAAATCCTCTACGACGTCGTATCGTGACACTCCTCCTACCTCTTCATCATCGTCATCATCATCGTCATGAAGATCTTCTACGCCATCGTCTTCCTCTTCTATCGATGATTCGCTGCGATAAGGAGAAACATTGGCAGAAGAAAAATGTTCCTCTGTGGAAGAAGTGTTGGAATCCTGGTCAACATCTTCTTCCTCTTCTTCTTCGTGTTCATAATGAGTTTGATTTATGAACTCCTTCGTGTAGTGATTATTTAGTCCACCTTGAGGAGTATTATTGTAAAACACTAAAGACTCTCCGTCGTCTCCAATATCAGCTATCAAATCCGGATTTTGATCTCTAGATATCACATGGTAACTTGTATTACACGACATTTTGAATTCTTCTTCCCCTTCCTCCTCCTCTTCTTCTTCATCGGAATACCACGCCGCCGAATCATATTCATCTTCATTCCTACATAATAAGAAATCTATTAGGATACAGTTGTCCCCATTGAGAAAAAAGCTCCAAATGTTTTCTGTCTGATCAGTTTCTAGAATTATAAAAAAAAACTAAAGAAACTCACCCATAACCACGAATTTAGTTTTTTTTTTAGTTATATGATAAATTCTAGTAACAAGTAATTATGATACTACTATATAAAACATTGCACAATTTAAACAATCTTCAACATAAAACTGGGATATATATACACAAAACTTTGTTTGATTATATTATATGCTAAAAAAACTGAAAACAATGAAAATAATATGAAACTATTCGATCATCATGTGTATATACGTGTATATATATGGATAGACGATGACAGAGAGTAAAGAAAGAATTTAGGTATAGAGAAACCTTTGGAGAAGAGGGTAGCCGCCGATGAAGTGTAAAAGCCTGTGGAGGAGGGAGACGGCGGAGTAGAGGAGGAGAAGGAGAAGAAAGAAAGATGTGGAGACATTGATGAAGAGACTTGCTAAGGCTTCTTCATTTGTATAACATTGCATTTTAATGATATCTCTTTTTCTCTCTTTCTTTTTCTTTTTCTATCTATCTTTCTTCTTCTTCCTATCAAATGGAGAGAGAGAGAGAGAGAGAGAGGAAGACTTCCTCCTCGGCTACAAAATCAAAAGCAAAGTTTGTGGGTTAACAAAAAAAAAAACATAAAGTGGTTGAGTTGAGTGCTTCTCTCTCTTTTTAGTTTTATTTTTTTTTCTCTACCTTTACGATATTAGTTTGAAATTTCTAATTGTTTAATACATGTTTATAAATTTGGACTTCTTCTAATCCTTGAGACAAGATTATATATGCCTACTCATTCCTTAAAGGGCATGCTAAAATTATACGAAGTGCCAAGTTTTAAAATTTATAGACTCCCTTAAGATATCTAACCCAAATATGTATATATCTCATCATCATCATTTAATTATAGTTATGGTCGAGATGAAGTGATTATGAGAGATATACGACATGGTTATATATAACTTATCAGCTAATCACTGTCTACCATAGAATACATATACTGATCATATACACAAGTTAGAAAAAAGAAAATATTCTTACACAACACTTAAAAATGAGCAGATCGCATGTGGAAGAGGAATGTAGTAGAAGACTATTTTTACCTGAAAGAATAAAAATAAAGCTGACGATGTTTACCGACTTACTAAAGGCAAGGATCCAATATTTATTGTCTATTGTGGGATTAGATAACATGAAGATTCATAAATAAATTATCGCGTACGAACGATATATTATGGATGGAGACAAAAAATAAAAAAAAGAAGATCTCTTCGAGAAAGTGAAGAGGCCAAAACCGTGTCACACGCTTCTCTCTAATGTAAACTTGTGTTTATAAAGCTTTTGCTTTTCCAAAAGAGAGATGTTTATATTATACCAATATATACATCATACATGCATGTTACGTGTACAATTAACATGGTACATGTAAAGAACATTTATAAAATTTTATTTTTCTTATATTGAACATACATATCAAATACTTGTCTATATATAGTTGTGTTTTTTTATATTTATTTTGCAGAAATGGTATATTTAATCAAATTGAGAGTGTAGAAACTTGAGTAGGCTTGATAGTATATGGGCCTGTATCAAATTGAGAATCAGAGAATGATCTTTAATTCTTTAGTGTATTTGCGTGTATACAACAAGTGTCCATGATTATTACTGGGCCAGATTTAATCGTTTAAAAGATATTAGGTAGGCTTGATAGTATATGGGCCTGTATTATGCTAGGGCCCATTTTTGTTCTCAGTACTCTCGTGTAGTTTAGTTGTGTTGCGTCTTTTAGCGCATTCAGGTTAAATCCTGGTCGACCAGCTAATACCGAGGAGGACAATGGCGGGTAAGCAGATCGGCGGAGACGGCGGTTTACCGGCAAATCTCGCCGGAATGACAAAAAGTCAGCTCTACGACATTATGTCACAAATGAAGGTTCTATCTTCTTTCTTTTGTCTACTTATCCGATTATATCAAGCTACAAGTAGATTTCTCGAGAGTTTTGATTCCTTACGGATTTGATTATAGAGCAATTGTTTTCTTCTTCGTTTCCCGAATTCTGAATTTGATAAATCGAATCTGATGGTGCAGACGTTGATTGATCAAAACCATCAGCAAGCGAGGGAGATTCTGATTCGGAACCCTCTCTTGACGAAGGCTCTTTTCCAGGTTCTCTTTCACTTCCCAAATCTTTTTTTTCTCAAAATATGTATTTCCTGCGGTCTATTAAGCAATGATGAATTCTGATTCAGAGCTTCTTAGCTGAGTATTTCGATTGGACTACTTTGGTTCTAGTATTGTTGAGGAAGCAGTTAGTTAGTGTTAGGGTTTTGTGTCGCGAACAAATGTTTAGGTTTATACCTGTATCAATAATTCATTTCTAGCTAAATTCTAATACTTGTATATGATGATGATGATGATATATTTGTTGAATGCCAGGCACAAATCATGCTTGGAATGGTTCAGCCTCCTCAAGGGGTATGTAGTATGTAACTTTGAGAAACAAGTTTCTTTATTCATCTTATTTGTAGGTTCATTCAAAGCATCTTTAAATTTACAACTCTGTTTGTCTAGAATCCGAAAGTTGAGCCACAAGCTGGGCAACAACCTCAACAGTCTCATCAGTCTATTCCACCAAAGCCAAACGTTCAAGCTCATATGCCATCTGTTCAAGGTGGAGGCAGCTTACAAGAGCCAGCAGCTACAATGCATCCACAAGCCGCGATTAGGAAACATCCAACACCACAACCAATGCCTATGCCTCCTCCGCCTTCTGTTTCTGCAACTAATAATGCACCATCACAGCCTCGTTATTCCCATCCCCAGCGCCAGGGACATCTGAATCCTGCTGTCACTTCTTTGTCTCATCAACAGTCTTCTCAAGTTCAAAGTGCGCCTCCTCCGGCTCCCCATCATCCAACATCCCAACCAAATCCATTTCATCATCTTGATATTCCAGCTTCCTCGACTCAGTTGCAGCAACAACCAACGCACTCGGGTGGAGGTCCACATTTGACTCAACAACAGCCTAGACCATACCATCATCAATATGGAGCAGCCCAGACTGGTCCAAACACTGGGTTTCAGCACCATGGCGCACCGCCTCAGCATCTTTCTCAATCCATGTTTCATGTGAGTCAGAGTTACGAGTACTGCAGTCAGTTTTCGTTTGTTTCCCTCATTGTGATTTTGTTTTTATTTTTTATTTTTTTTTATTTTGTTTTATTGTTTTGGACTCACTAGAACTCATTAGTTGAGCTAATTTGCAGTCAGGCAACAGACCCCCTGCTTCTAGTGGACCTCAATTTCAGCAGGGACAGCCGCATCTGCCTAGTCAGCCAACATATCAGGTATGCAAACTCTTATTGTCTTATACCTTTAGGAGATATGTTCGATGGTTTTGCAGATTGACTATGAAATTCTGTTGCATTATCTCTGTACTTTGATTTGAGCGCTACTCCTTGAATGAGTAGATTTATCCTTTAATGAGAGTTCTTATTCAGATGTGGGAAATTATTTCTTTTGGCATAATTATTCTCATCTAGTTCAGATTCGGTTAAAATTGTGTGTCTGCTTAAGATAATAAATCATCTAAATGGAAGTTGTACAGGTTTTTAGTTTTGCTTGGGGGTCTTACTGCTTGTAATCTTGTTTACTGATTCAGGGAGGAGGTCAATTTCGTGGAGACTACAACAATAACCAGTTAGGAGGAGGTCCGATGGCTGTGGATAGAGGCCCTTCTTGGATGGCTGGCCAATCAGAGAGCTCAAACATTACTCATCTCCCAGGCTTAGGACCGGTGCCTCCACCAAGCCAAGTTGGGCCTGGAGGTGCCCCACCACCTCGCCCTGCACCGGTAATCTACATTCCCCTACAGCTATTGCTGCTACGAAATATATCCATGTTGATGATTATGTAGTTCTATCAAACCCCCAATCAATCAGATCCAATGTTACTTTCTAGTAGACGTTGTAGCTGTGTCTTTTGCTGCAATTCAAAATGACTATTTCTCAAAGAGAAAAGAGCCTATGTTATTTTTGCTGATGATTGTGTTTATCTTATTTGTGCAGATATCATCGGAGATGGAGAAGGCATTACTTCAACAGGTGATGAGCCTGACGCCAGAACAGATCAATCTGCTGCCACCAGAACAGAGAAACCAAGTCCTGCAGCTTCAACAGATTCTCCGACAGTGAAGGTCATTGATACCATTCGCTTGGTCTCCATGTTAGAAGTTAGGAGATACAGGTTTTTTTGTAAGGTCGGAGTTAAGTTTGGGATAATTTGTAAAAAGAAAAAAAAAAGAAGAAGAGTAATTAGATTTTTTCCAAGTTCAAGGTATCATCACTTTGGTCCTATCCCCTGGAGAAAATTTGTGTGTCCCTTTGAATTAATGTTCGGTTAACAATTTTCAAGTGCCTTTCAAAGTGTCGAAGTCTTGTTTTTGCAGACCTTTCAAGTCCCAAACTCTTGTTTAACTTTCCGTGAAATAATACTAAGACGAAGAACATAAATATCATTTGAATTAGAAAAATCTTAATTACCACATAGATGTTTTGATTCAGACAAATTGCTAGATATAGTTTTAATACAATTGTTATTTGTAGATATTTTAAAAAATATATATAATGATTCAACTTCTTAAAGTCTTAACACACCTAAGAGTTGAGAGATTTGAGGAGCTAACAACAAGAACAACTCCTCCCTCAACATTCAAATGGAGTCACTTCCAAAATTTTGGTGGGTTGGTGGGTTCCCACAGTGTTTTTGGATCCTTGAACTTGCCCATTTTTGTTCTCTGCCACCAGATGATGTGATCACCAAATCTATTAATAGAATACTTGTTCGTCCCAAAATATATTTTATTTGTTTCTCAAAGCTATATCCCCTTTGTACAATTTTCCATTAATGTGTTAAAGATTTGTTCTAAGGTTTTATCCTTGAAAGACAATCTCTAAACTTATAAGTAGGAAGTTTTGATTCTTTGAATGTGCATCAGATTCAGTTTTTTAAAAGAAAATGTTGTAGTAAAAAGGTATTAAGACCATACTAGTATCTCGTTAATTAGAACAAGAAACAATCAAGCACTCTGTAATTGAACTATTCCAAATTATAGGCATTTATTATAAAAAATCCCTTATTATAATTCATTTTTATATAAATATATGCAAATAAGACGGAAATGAATAGAAAACCCCACTTACATATTTGTTCATCTTCTTTAGGGCAAGTAATGGTCCATTTTCAAGCTGTTCTCCCTAGTTTCATGGATGCATACAATGCATCTCTTATTTCTTTTCTTTTTCTTTTCCCTTGTTCTAATATTTATACCTATACATATATATTTCTGTTCAAATTTTATCTTCTGCTTTCACGCGACTAATTTATTTATCAAACAAACAGTATTCATCTTTAAATCCCTTAGCTAAGGCACAAGCATTTCGACATGCCATGGAGTACTCCACTTCCACCTTTATAGAGTTTCCTCTTGTAATCTTGACCATTTATGAATGTTCTGATGATGTACCACTAATACTAGTATAGTATTATTACATGCTAAAGAGAAGAATAGATATTTAGTAGTACTACTTTAGTTCACAAATGTTTTCCCCAACCCCAATCATGATTATGATGAAATGGGAACATCAATCACAGTCCATCAAGTATGAAGCGTCACCCAAGCAATTATCTTATACAATACAAGGAAATTAATTAAAAGCTATGTTCTAAGATATTAGTAGTAGATAAGTACAGATTCCACAAAATAAGGAAAGACAAATCTTTGGTTGCTCCACGATTAAACACGTCCTTTGGAAATCCACAATCCACAAATTGCATAAAACCTATCTTTGTCGTTGTGTTTGGTTTCGGGGACATGCATCATTATTAATATTTTCTTTCGATAGTAACAAGTGAAGGGTAGTTTTGTTAATTTCGTCTAGCTACTGTTTCTGACCTGAGGTCCAACTCCAGTTGTTGTTGTATTCGAGTTTATCATCTTTGCTTGTCTTTACTTAAACCCCAATCAATGCTGATGTTGCCATATTTTTTTTTTCATCTCTATTATTGTGATTCTGATTTTTTAATATATTCTTTTCCTTTTTTCTTTCTTTAAAACTGAGATTTGATGACTATTGTTTTGGAGGTTCCAGGCTTTCCAGCTGTGGCTGATTTGAATTCTTTTTTTTTTTGTTTCCAAATTGTCTTAAAAAAATGAACGATTGAAGAGGTTCTTTGTCACCTAATATAGTATCTAACATTCGAACTTCTTAGATTGATACTATTTTTAGTAACTATTCGTATAAATAATAATATTTTTTGTATCAAACTAATTTTATGTTTAGATAATAAGTCTGATATCTTATATTATGACTACCAATATCGAAACAATTTCTCATTATTATTCTCTAAAGTGTGATTGATGAGTGCCTTTCTTACAACTTTCAAAACACTTATAAGAATTCATCAATCATATTGTCAAAATTATGGTTGGATACACTGACACTCATTCATTGTGGTTCCAAATATTGTTTTGCTCGGTAAAATTTTGATCCATATCTCTATATATATCCCCACCTTCTTCCGAGATATATCCACTTCGATTCCAATTTTTTTTTAATATTTTAGTTAATGATAGCACTAATTAAACATTTGTCATTGTCCGATCTAGTTGAACCGCAATCTCTTGGCAGTATATTTGTAATGTAGAAATTATACAAGTATACATATAATTTTATATGGCATCTTTTGATTCTTGAACAATCTATATATATATATATATATATATAATTTCTTTTAAACCCCAAAAAAAACAAATTAGAAAGACAAAGAAAAGGAGAGCAAAAAACAAAAGTCAAAGGGTCCATGTTGATGAATGGAAGACAGAATTCCCATCCCTCCCTTGCCCCATCTCCACTGCCTCACGTGCCTTTGCCCTCTGCACAACATTAATCTTCCTATTATTATAATCGATTTCTTAACAAAAACATTTTATATTAAACATTTCTAAAACTTCCAACTAAGAAGTTTTTAGATATAAATTTTTGATTAAAAGTTTTAAGTTTAGGTACCTGCATGGATTCGACATCATCAGTCTCGGAGTTGAAGTCATAATACGAACTTGCTGCTGTAATCTTCATGGATAAAAACTGTGTTCACAAAAGAAGTAAAGCCCGAATTAGTAACTTTTTTTTGAAACGAATGGAATTGGTTTAGATACAATCTATGTAATACTTTCAGAAAAAAATAAATCATTAGCAATCATACCTCAACTTGATTTTGCAATGACTGAACGTAATTAATTATCTCGTCCAGCATAGTAGCCATTCCCATTGTCTACACACCACCAAATTATATATTCAATATATTCGTATTGTCAATAAAGATCATATATCAAGTTCTCATATAATTAATGAACAATCACCTTATAACATCCGGGGACTATATCTTGCAAGCATTTTAATCTCTCGTTTATTTTCCCTCGCCGAGCCTGAAAATATATAATATTAAAAACATATTTACTAAATAATTTTCATTATATTATTTATGGGTTAATATATATATATACTGTAGTTTCCAAACTAATATATGTGTATTTATATAAGTATATTACCCGCTCAGCTATGCTGTGGCTATCAGTGGCCTGACCTCTTCTGGCTCTAACATGAACAACTTCTCTCTCTTTCTCTTCTTCTCTAGTCTTGGACCTCTTTCCTCTCTTCGAAGAAGAAGAACTCTGTAATTTTATTAGTAAGACAAAAAACACAATTAAAAATAATGGAAACTCATTGTAGAGCTTAATTATGCACATGTGTGATTAGGATTTCTTCGAGGTAATAATTACATTTATGGTCAAAAGTTTTCCATTACGAGCAGCAGAAGAGCTTGAGAGGGTTTGATCAGAGACACTGTTCTCCGAAGTAGACATAGATTCTGTAAATGTTTTTCTCTTCTTGGTACCGACGACTCTTGAAGAAGACTCATTAGAGTTGGGTAGGAAAATCCCTTGATGATGAAGATGGTTAAAGTCAATCTCAGGAGAGTTTCCGGGGAAATGATCAGATGAGAACTGAAGTTGATGATGATGAAAGAAGAGAGAGTCGAGAGGAGAAGAGAAAGGAGGAAATGTTTGGAACTGATGATGAAGAGTGTTGCTCAGTTCTGCTAGCTGTGTTATGGGATCATCCATCGTCGTATATGTCTGAAGATCTGAAGATAGATTCGCCATTCTATACTGATGATGAATTTTTTTTTTTTTTTTTGGGGTTAAAATAGAAAGTGGCTGTTTTCGAGCGAGTGACTACGTTTATATATAGAGACACTGTTTTCTATTATTGTTTCTTTTTCGCCGTTCTTGAAAAATTGGAATAAAAGTGGGGTTTTACAGTACTTAAGAGACGAGTGGAAGAAAAAAGAAAAGAAAAGAAAAAAGGAGGGACATGCAATGAAAGAGAGAGTTGTGGGATTTTCGTAATGGAGTTGGTCCCGCAGAAATTGATCAGGAGATATATCCAAATAGAGTAAGTGGGGACTCATCAGCACTGTTTAAGCAACTTCTTCTTTTCTCAAGGCAAAGGGGGAAGAACTTAAAATTAATTAAGAGACCATCCTCAACAAAAGTAGATTTAACATATCTATATATATAATTTATTGGATAAATATAACTTAGCTCTAAGTTATAAAAACAAATTTTTTTAAAAAAAACTAAGGTAGGTGTAAGTTGAAATTTAAAAGGTAGAAGAATTCTAGTCAATGTAAAGTTCCATAGACAATATATAGCCTCTCGACTTTGGTATAACTAGGTTTGATTTCTTCTGACTGCTGATCGGCCACGTTCTTCTTTCTGGATTCTTACTATATATAGAGTTAGGTTCCTATCAAAATCAAGTAACTTAATTGAACAAACCCTATCACTATCCCTTATTTTTAGACTCAAATCACATGCAAATTACATATACATATTCAAGACTCGATCTAACTTGTTGTTTTTGACTTTGAGCATTGTTTTCCTTTAAAATTTAACAAGCATACATGTTCAAATCGATCATTTTGAATACTTGTTTGGCAACTTTTTAAACCCGTTGAATTAGTAATGTATTTCATATATGTAACGTTTTGAACGAGAGTCTTATCTATCCTTACAGAGTTGGATTAAAATTAGCAGCAAACTTTAGAGTTCAAACTATGAATCTATTCTGATTAACAAGACAACTGAAACAGAGAAGCAAAACCACTCTTAAAGAAAAACCGACATAACTGAATAAAACAGTAACCCGTATACAAGATGTATGCTACATGCATCACAAAACTCTGCATAACATACAAGGGCCCGACCAAGAGTGTTACGTACTGGGCTTATAAGAAAAAACAAAATATATTCTCAACTAGAAGTAGACCCGCGCGATGCGCGAGATAAATTTGATATTATATTTATAATAATTTTAATATATTTTTTTGAATCAATTTGATTGAAGCAATTAAGTAGTTCTATTCCTTTTTATGTACTATCTCATATAATATTTATTTGATGTTTCCAAGTTTTAATATAAAACTAAGTGTATATGTTTTATGATTATTTTGTATTATGCAGATTGCTATCTACTGCATAAATTATTTAAATACATTATAAATAATATTTTTTTACAAAAAAAAAGTGAAATAATTATTAATTTGTATTCAACAAATTCCATCATCAATTAAAATAAGCATTAGAATATTTTTTTATTCAACTACATTAGATACTAAGAGTAAGATTTATACTAAGAGTAAGATTTATAGTCTTATATCACTACAAACTACTCTTTGAACTTGTAATCTATATAACTCTACTTTAGGTTTGTCCCTACGTCATCTTCTTTTTTGTTTTCAAAAAAATCATTGCTTATGAAATGTTGATTACTTTTTCCTTCGTTCTCTCAAAAAATCATATCTTCTAATATTTCATATAGGATAATATTATATAATGACACATGAATATTTTTTTTGTTAACAACTTTATATTAGTCACATGCAATTTATTCTTAAAAATATGTTAACTAAAAAGAAAAGTCACATACAATTTACCATAGCCACTTTGCTCTCTACCACGACTTCCGAGGAAAAATAATATAATCTAATTTAAATAAAAAATTAAAATAATGTAACAATAACATCATGGGAATTATACATAAATAAATTATACAACAATAATGAAAATAATAAAAAATAAAATTTTAGACAAGAAATGGAAAATATTAAAATTTTAAAGAAGATATATTAGGTTAGTACCAGGTAAGTTCTCTAATTTGTCTACCAAAGTGTTGATTTCTTTGTATGTTTGGATACAAAAATAGTAGTCAATGTTTTTGTTTTTATAGCCTTCAAAATATTTTATTTTACACATGTGTTGTTTCATACTTTCTTAATTTATAAGTACGATTAAATTTAAAAATATGTTAGATTTGTATCATACTTTCTAAAAATATTTATATCAAATTCTTAAATGTTTATTTCATTGATTTTTATGTCATATAACAACATAAAAATAGAAAAATATTAAAGATACATGAATATAAAGGAATAGGGTGAGGGAATGATTACCTATATAATGATAAACTAAAAAAGAAAATAGAGATGAATTTTCAAAAAACAAAAAATTATAATAACATAAGATGTATATAGTCTCTAATTTATTTTACAATTGAGATTTTATAAAAGAATATTTTAATTGATTTCTAAAACTCATACAAAAAAAAACACAAAGCTATTCTTTTATATAATAATTGAGATAGAGAATTGGAGGATGAGAAAATGGTAACTGAGAAAATGAGTATATATAGGAAGAGAAGTGATGGGAGTTACAATTTCATAAAAACAATTATGGGAATCAATTATAATTTATTGTGTGCTGAAAAATTCAATGTAAAATATAGTTAATGCAAATTTATATTATTTCAGTTTTTATATTAAAGTGTGAGTTTAATGTATATGACTAAATGTGTTTTGTGGTTTAATTGTTTTTCAGTTTTATATTAAATTGTGAATTAAATATATATATAGATATGATAATACCTAATATTTTTTTTTAAGTTACATGCCAATTGAACCAATAAGAAGAGAGTGAAACTTGTTGTTGCCAAAAAAAAAAGAAGAGAGTGAAACTTTATTTATATATATATGATTTGTTAATAATATGATAATTATTCTTTAATTAAATGTCATGATATATTATATTTATAATAATTTAGGTGTACTATTTTATTATACTGAAAAAGTCTAAATTTCTCTAATTTTATTATTTACCGTGGATTTCACGATGCTAAAGTAAAAAAAAAAACAATTCTCTTTAACTATTTTATTATAAACTTATTTTTGAAAAATTATAAGAACATGTTACAAATGATTTATTACCCATATTAATAACTTTAGGAAAAAATACTTTAAAAGGAGGAGGAAATTTTGATGTCATTTTTGAACTTTAAATCTAAAAGAAAAAAACTCATACCAATTTTCTTTCAATACAAAGAAAAAAATTTGAACTACTCCATTTTATGTTTAGCTTATATGGTATTTAATTTAAATAGAACTAAAACTGGAGAATTTTTCTTTTTTGCCACAATGTCACTTTTTTAAAATCAAATAATACATATCTTATAACTTACAACACAATAGCACAAATAAACTAATTTTAAAATGTTAAATTAGAATTTAATAAAAATGACACATGTCATGAATATAGAGCGCCAAATGTCGCTTTGTGGGCAAAGTTAGAAAAAACCTTGGCTTATTATATAAGATTGCAAACATAATTGTAAGAAAAGAAAAAAAGGTTAAAAGATTAAAGGATTTGCAAACTTGAGACCATAAGAAAAAAAGAGCATATATATAATAACCCCTGCATTCCGAAGATTTTTACTAAAATATATATATGTTTGTCTTAAAATTTGAATTTATTATGAGGTCTTAAACATTAGTCGGCTGGTTTTAGGCATGGACTGGACTGGTAGCATTCTGATAAGATTTCAATCGATCATCCAAGTTCATTATAGGGACACAAACTTATTAAAATATATATATATATATATATATATATATATATATATATACTCCATGTTTATTTCTACATTTTCATATTGTAGATTTTCCTTTTTAGTACATCTCATATATGTTTGCAATATATATACATGCATGGTGCATACACATGACACCCAATCAACAAAAAGAATGCAACCAATGAAACAAAATCACATATAGTTTAGTTTTGATTTTGGAAGAAAACTCTGATAAATTAGATAGTTCGACACTTCTAGACTTAATTGTTTTATTGTATAACTAAACTTCCTTGTTTCTTATGGCCATTAGCTAGGAAAACAAAAAGTCATAGTAAAGTCAGTAATAAGGTTTGTGCCAAACTGATCCTCTTTATGAAGATGGAAATGGAAAGTTGAAATAATTATCACACCTAAAAATCGATTACTCTGAAAGACATATACATGTCACCTAGGGCTGCCTAAAATTGATCCACCATATAGTAAATCCCAGTAGATTAGGAAATTAAAACTTAAATTTATCGAAGAATTCATTTAGATAAAAATCACAAAAATAAAATTTGGAACACAAATATTTGTTATTAATTTGCTAATATATATGCAAACGGTATACAAGATCATAAATAATCACGATAGCCATAGACATATGATATAAAATGTCCTCTTCTTTGTCTTGCTCTCATTATATATACACGTAGATAAGGGTGCATTTACATGTTTTGCTTTATTATTCATCTTCCTTCGGCGAAGGAAGACATGGTAATGGAGTTCCTCGAGTACTCCTCAACGAGGCTATTCTGTCCAAACGCTCCTCCTCCACTAATTCTTCTACTCTTAAAACTGTTTGGTTCACTCCCGGTTATTCCACAACTTCGTGCACCACCTCCTGTTCCGGTCCCAGTACTTGTATAGCCGCCTCCTCTACGACCTTGGAGTCCAGGACGACCCGGTTTAGGCAAATCAAATGAATCGCTCGACAACATTTGATGAACCATGTTCATCTCAGGCCTCTTTGACGTGATCTGCTGGCAACACAGTAGTCCTATAAGGAAACAAGTGGCTGCTTCGTCGCGGTTGTATACTCCTGCCAGAGATTGATCAACCAATTCCAGAATTTTGCCTTCTTGGTACATTTTCCACGCCTGCATGCACCGATTTTAAACTCGGGTTATCGAGTCAGGCCAATGTTTTTTTGTTCCAAGTTAAACAAGTCTTTTGATAAAGATGAACAAATGTGGGATTTGTTAACATATAGAAACAGAACAAATAGAAACATATATAAGCAATACTTACTAAATAAAGATATGTCTAGATAAATAGTATGGAATAATCTAAACTATTCCCATATTTAGAGGAAATTAAGATGATCTAACAGTACTAAGATACAAAAGATATGATAGTGACTCCACTTCTTACCAAATGATTTTGTGATCATGATCTCATAATCCCTCTAGGTCGTGCACAAAACCGTATTTAAATGTTATGGTTTCCAACTTACATAGTTCAAAAGATCGGCCCTTTCCTGTCCAAGACGAGGATTTTGATTCTTTCTTCCGCTAGCTATCTCCAAAACCAAGACCCCATAGCTAAAAACATCTGACTTGACCGATAAAAGCCCATGCAAGGCATACTCAGGGGCCATATAACCACTGCATTCATTAAACACTATACATAATCATATTTGCATTCACAAATATTCCCAGATGATAGAGATTATGATGAGTTTAAGTGTAGTCAGCTACTCACTAAGTACCAGAGATTTTAAAGGTATTGGTATGAGTGCCGTCTCCAGGAAATAACCGGGCCAAACCGAAATCCGAGATTTTCGGGTTCAAGTCATTATCCAGAAGAATGTTGCTGGCTTTGATATCTCTGTGTATTATCCGTACCGGAGCTTCTTCGTGTAGATACAACAGTCCTCTCGCCACTCCTATAATGATTCGCCATCGATGGTGCCAATCAAGTGAACCGGGTTTGATCTTATCTAAAAATTACAAAGACATCAATAATTAAACCAAACAGGTTCGAATCGGATGAATTAAAAAGAGCAGAACCAATGATTCGGTACAGTTTGGTCGTGGACTTGTCCGACAATTAAAAAGAGACGTACCAAAGAGAAAATAGTCGAGACTCCGATTAGGGAGATACTCGTAAACCAGCATTTTCTCGGGACCATGGAAGCAACAACCTAGCAAAGAAACCAAGTTCTTATGTTGAATCCTAAGCAAGAGATTAACCTCGTTGGTGAATTCTCTAGACCCTTGTCTCGAATTCACTGATAGCTTCTTCACGGCTATCTCTTCACCATTCGGCATCAATCCCTATTCGTAATGTCGTATCAAATAAATGACCCTCTCTGTTATTGAATTCAAAACAGAGTTTTCTATTAGAGTTTAGTTTACCTTGTAGACAGGGCCAAATCCGCCGGTTCCGAGCCGGTTCTTCTCGGAGAAAATATCAGTGGCGACTTCAAGCTCTTGGAGATCGAAGAAGATCCCACGATCACCACCGTCTTCGGCTGATTCTTCTCCACCGGAAGCTGCCTGACCACCGCACATCTTAAGCAGCGCTATCAAGCCACTGAAAAGACGGCGGACCATCTCTTGTGACGATATGTGGCTCGTTTTGTCACCCTCAGAGTGAAGATTAGTATAAGGTGTGGGATATTATTTTCAAATCCAGTTTCTAATTGAGTTTGTTTCTTGTTCCGGTATGGCTTATACAAAGATCAAAGTATACAAGTCGTTGAGTCAGTCAACGGCATTGACCGAGCATGGACACATACCTACTGATACGCGTTACATTAAGTTCCGTTTTTTTCTTTTTGTTGGAAACATTTTTTGCTTTTATAGCAGCCAAAAGGAGTGTTATGTAAGTTTAGATTCATCATAAACAGCTTAATAGTGAAAAATATATGTAAATATTACTAATTTAATAAAAAAAAAAAGTTAAAACATTTGGCAAATTAATACATGCTTAGGTTTATGTTTAAGACAAAGTCATGGAGTCAATTTTACAAAATGAGAAAGTAAGTCATAGCAAGGGACCTTTTTTATTGGACGATAAATTCGCAAAAGGACCAAATTCTATTTATCGTGCGAAATTTCCTCTTGGACCGTTTTTGTGTTTACTATTTTGTCATAGCAAATAAAGCCCGGCTCAGGCCATGTTTTAGGCCCAATTCAATCTGTCACTTTTACACATCTAAATATCGACCAACTGTTCACAATCGCCGGGAAAATTACAGATTTGTTCGACGCGGCGGCGGGTGGGGGATCGCGATGAGGTTCCGGTATGCTATGGTCTGTTCGTCGAATCAGAACCGGAGCATGGAAGCTCACGCTCTTCTTAAGAGACAAGGTCTGGATGTTGCTTCGTACGGGACTGGGTCTCATGTTAAACTACCTGGACCATCTCTCAGAGAGCCTAACGTCTACGACTTTGGAACTCCTTACAAGAAGATGTTCGATGAGCTCAGGCGCAAAGATCCTGAACTGTATCCTCTTAATGCGTTCCTTTGTTTTGTTGCTTACCGATCATGATTTTTTTCAAATCCCTAAGTTTGAGTTGGTCACTGCTTCAGTCTCAATATTCTTCTAGTGTTGTGATATTCGCTAATTTTTAGTCTGGATACAACAATTTTGCTTCCTGATTACATTTTCCACTTCCTGCACACTAAATTTTGTAGGTTTAATTTGCAATCCTGTTATTTTAGTGAAGGCATTGTTATTAAAGTGTGTTTCTAGTAAATTTACAAAATTTATCTGTCTTATGGCTATGTTTGTCCAGCCTATGATTTTCTGTATTGTACTCAGGAGCATGTTCATTGGGTTGTATAGGGAGGCTTGTAAGCTTTAAGTTTGATACCTTAACTGTTCATCATCAGTTACAAGCGGAATGGTATATTGCAGATGCTTAAGAGGAATTTATCTGTGAAACTTGCTCCTCAAAGATGGCAAGACAATGCTGGTGATGGTGTGTTTGATGTGGTCATGACATTTGAAGAAAAGGTTTTCGATTCAGTCCTTGAAGGTAGTTCATTTCCTCCCTATCTTACGGTTAAATACTTTGTTTGAAAATTGATTTATCTTAAGTGCTGACTACGTAGATACTCATCCCACAAAAATTTTATGAATTTGGAAGAAAAATGTGGCATAAGTAGATGTGTTTATCAATGTATCAATTTATCCCATTTGAAGAAAATTGAGATGTTGAGACTTTGGTGTTTCCAAACAATCTTCTCCCTTGGTAAAATTGTGCCGAACTAATCAGGATAGATGTTTAGATATAAATCAATGAAGTCGTTAAGCATTCACAAGTCATGTGAAACCTTAAAGTTCTACAGGGTGCCCTTTCTTGCAACTTAGTTTACCTTTTAGCTTGCTGTATTTGTTAGCTTGAAAACGATGGCAATTATGGTTTGACAGAACTCTCGTTTATCTTTGGTGTGAGAGTAATACGAACATTCTTGTATCTTAATATCTTTATCTGATCAAGTTAGAGTTTATTACCAATCTGCAGATCTTAACAACAGAGAACAGTCACTGATGAAAGCCATACTTGTGATGAACTTGGAGGTTAAAGATAATCACGAAGAAGCGGCTATAGGTGGCCGTCTTGCCTTGGAACTCTGTCAAGAGATTGAAGGGAATGAAACATGGGAAGATACGATTGATGACATTGTTGCGGGTTTTGAAAAACAACATAGGCGGAAACTGGTCTTTAGCATCTCATTCTACTGAAGATTCTACCATCAGTCGCTTTAACGGTCAGATTATGTAGTGTGCTGTTCTGTAGCGAGAGTCTTGAGATTCTAAACACATTTATAAGTCATCGGTTTTATATGCCTTAAGGTTACATACTTGAAAGTGTAGAAGAAATTGCCTGTTATTAAATGAGAAATTGTCTTCCAAACACTTTCCTTTGTTTGTTTCATCCTGGCTTGAAAGTTGAAACAGACCCTTGATGAGTTAATGTTACAGTACAAAACTATTTCGATTGTGTGCTGTTTGTTTGTTTGACATGTCTCAAAGAGAAGTAATAAAATAAAATAAAATACAACAGAGTGGTGACACTACTGGTCTTCACCCAAAGCATTACTTCATCTTTAATGTCACAATCTAAGTTAACGTGTTTAATTGAAACCCAATTCGTGTACCAATTAAATTAAACTAACCCCTAAAATCGTGTACAAGTCAATGCAATGTGTCTAGCAAAATCTCATGCCCGTGCCGTGAGATTAGAAGACGAAAAGTCCCTTTAGAATTCATAATCTTGAGCTTGGCTATATATATAACGTCGCTCCTCCCACAGTTCGTAATATGTTTGTTTCAGAACCACATATTTATACGAAAAATAATGAACAAGAGCCTCGAAACGCAAGAAGACCCTCTTCAACAAGAAAGTCGTCATCATCTTCATCAAATCTTCATATCCAAGGTATTCAAATCCCATAGATTCTTCCAAGCCCTCGTGTTGTATTCGTTTCTTATAGGTTTCGGGTTCGGACTCGGCTTCATACTCAACGTACACATAAGAAACGTCTCTTTCAGTCCCCAACTCTTTCGACTATCCTCTCCAACATCCTCCTGCTCGTCCTCCAACTCTTCCCTGATCAGTCCACTGCCAGAAAAATGTGTTTCGCTGAAAGAAACAGTTGATGAAGAGCAAAAGGGTCATCCTCTGGTGATACATAACATAACGGAGGAAGAACTCTTTAGTCGTGCGTCGAAGATTCAGAAAAAGACGTTGAAGATGACAAAAAAAGTGGCGTTTATGTTCTTGACGAGAGGGAAGCTTCCTTTGGCTAAACTGTGGGAGAGATTTTTCCAAGGCCATGAAGGTCTTTTCTCAATTTACATTCATACTAGTGACCCTTCATTTTACGTTGACGACGAAACGCAGGAAACGTCGCCTTTTTATCGTCGAAGGATTCCAAGCAAGGTCAGTCAATTTCCTTTATTCCCTATACCCAATTTTATAATTTGCTTAAAAGAGTTTTTTTTTTTTTTTTGAAAGAAAAATATATAATTGAGGTAGTCTAGTTAAATCAGCCTATTAATAGTTACACTTTTTATGGAAATTATATATTTTTTCTAATATATGTAAAAATCTACTTTGAAAAATTAGTGTGGTGCTTAGAACTTAGAAGTTATTTCCAAAAGAAGAGCGCGACAAAATTAACGAACATTGATTAGCATTTAACATTTTTATTTCTTTCAACTCGTAACGCTTTAGCGTTGCTAATTATGATTGCTAAACAAAGGACTTACGGTAACTACATCATCTGTGAGTCTGTGACTGTAAATTTTCAAGGCCTATATTAATTTAAAGAAAAACGTAGATCAGCATCCTTTCGTTTCCTTATATAAAATACGTTTCAAACCTGGTCAGGTCTACCTATACTTTATTCAGAGCGTAGATGAATTACAAAAATGATACGTGTCGAAGAAGTTAGAAAAGTCCATACAAAGAGATTTTCAAGAATGGCACGAATCATATCGTAATTTTCTGGTTATAATTTTTGGTCGAATGATAACAAAATAAAAGGTATTTGAGATTTTTTTTTAGAAAACTTTACCTACACCAGTAACACCCATCATGTGACTAACAATGACCTCATTGTTTCTCTTCTTTTCTTTTTCCTTTGTTTGTTCAATATTGTTTCTCTTTAGAACCAATAATATGAGGGGGGTATAAAAATTAACCATTAAATACTGTAATACATAGGGTAGAAAAGTCGTTTATTATTAATTAGTATCTTTTGTATAATGTCTACGTATGCCTCTTCATTCCCCTTTCAATACATACATCATATACTATATAAATACAAAATCGTTGAGTAGTCTATTTTGGCTACCGACATATATATTTTTAAGATTAATCAATGAATAAATTGCTAACTAAAATAATAATATCACGAGTTCTCATGTCCGAGGATTTTTTCTTGTTTCTCTAGGAAGTGAAATGGGGAATGGTGAGCATGGTGGAGGCTGAGCGGCGGCTACTGGCCAATGCTCTGCTAGATGCCGGAAACCACCGCTTCGTCCTCCTCTCGGAATCAGACATCCCTCTCTTCAACTTCTCTACCATTTACTCTTACCTCGTAAACTCTCAACACTCCTACGTCGACATCTACGACCTCCCCGGACCAGCAGGTCGAGGCCGCTACAATCGCCGTATGTCACCAGTCATCAGCCGCGGCAACTGGCGAAAAGGGTCTCAATGGTTCGAGATAGACCGTGAGGTAGCTGCAGCCGTCGTCTCGGACACAGTTTATTTTCCCGTGTTCAAGAAACATTGCCTTTGGGGATGCTATGCCGACGAGCATTACTTACCGACGTTTGTCCACGTGATGTTTCCGGGGAAGAACGCAAACCGGTCGGTGACGTGGACTGATTGGTCAAGACGAGGGCCGCATCCGAGGAAGTATACTCGGCGGTCGGTGACGCGGGAGTTTCTATTGAAGTTGAGGAATAGAGAAGAAGGGTGTGTCTATAATGGGGAGAAGAACGAAAAATGTTACTTGTTTGCTAGGAAGTTCGATGGTGCTTCTTTGGATAAATTGTTATATTTTGCTCATAGGGTTTTGGGATTTTAGCTCTCTTCTTAAGACCCCTAACATACGACTCGGCCAATTTGTGTTTGGTACTATCCCATTTGCGTATTTTAAAATTTTGTAATTACAAAAAAAAAAAACAGAAAAAAGAAAAATGTAATTACAAATACCATATACTTGTTTCACATATTTTTGTTCATTTTCAGAGAAATCTTCTTCATCCTCTGCATGTTTAGTAGCATTACAATTCCCCCAATTATGTGTAAGGCCCATTTATTTGTTCGGAGTTGAAAGACCCAATTGTTAATAAAAACTTGTTCATTTTTCTATCTCTTGTGTTATTTATTCGAGACGAACTTTTTTTGAAATTTTTTTATCATGGCAGTAGACAATGATGTACATTAGAGAACATCACTTTTACCGGATCTGAAGTTCGTGGAGATATGTTGAACGTCTAACGAACACAATTCTATCTTGCAAGTGCTCAGGCGTGATTGTCGTGGCATGATCAAAGCGTTTATGCTAATTTTTGGAGAGAGCTGGATAAAACCATAACTTTTTCAGTTTTGAAAAACTATTTAGTTATTGTTATATTGTAGTACACGTAGAGTTACCAAAATATTAATGATTCAATAATTGATTAATCTTTACTGTTAGTTTCTCGTTTTCAATTACGTGAGTAATATAGATCAATTACGTAATCTAAACCACTAGTTTAGTATCTAATAATTGTATACGAACCAACGCGGCCGTTTTGTTCCGTACGCGGACGTTTCATTTGTTAAAAAAAAAAATAGAGTAGACTGAAACTCAAACTAATAATTTGTTTCAGTCTCCAAATAGCATGTGATTTTATGGACAATTAAACATAAAACATTAAAGTTATATTATGACGTTTTAGAATATTATATAAACTAGATATATAGAAAAATGTTGCTTACTTTAGTAACCAAAAAAACACTGCGAAGGGTAAAGCTGTTTCCAAGAAACAGAGCACTCCTCCTTCAGATACGTTTATTTTCGCCAAGACTCAAGACTTTTCCAACTTTATTATCTTTCGTTCCTTACAAAACACTAAAAAATGGATTACTGTGATGATCATGTTACAAACGAACACACAGAAACATTACTTTTTTTTTTAGTTAGCCTTAGCCACACCCAGAAGTGAATAGCAGCAATACAGAAAACGGGCTTTTCACATCATTCATTTTAGATTATATCAAATCGAATAATGTCGTGACAAAGGCTATGTGACAGTTTCAAAAAAAGAAAAAAAAAGAAGGCAAAGGCTATGTGAATGTGACAATACAAATTCATCACAAGAGTCAAGACCACTCACTATGATTACTTGACGCAGCCAAGAATAATTTTGAAGTTATAATCAAAAATAAAAACAGAGTAAAATTTAATTAAAGAGGTAGATTGTTGATTGAGACTAACAGAGTTGATTGTAGCTAAAACGTACAACAAGTTTTGAGAGGAAAAAATGAGATTTAAAACCCACCCGACAAGAAATTACCCGAAAAGAACAAATCAATTTGACGAACCTTCTTCGAACATTGTTCACTACCTCACCCTTTATTATATAATTTTTGTTGACATCACTCTTTATTATATAATTTAATATTAATAAACCAACAAAAAACTTAAAACTTGGATAAGATTAATCTTCTTTAACACAATACATTCTGTAATTTTTTATTTTTAAAAAGCCGATATATATTAAATAATAGCTTTTTATAAAATATTCGGATCTTGTAGGAAAACGATGAAAACCAAAAAACAAAAAAATGTTATGAAAAGACCTGTCTTCCTTTTATTTATCTTAAAAAATAGTTTGATAAAATGAGTACTATTATATGAAAGGGGTTTGTTGTTAAATTGTTTATACATGTATTTATCGACGAGACCAAACAAGTTGGGGTTATTGCAAACTTGAAATCAAGAAACGAAGAATCTGAAACTGTCTTTTTCTCTGATTTTCATATGTTTGATTTCACTGTTGAAATGTGATTCAATGCTTGGTCAAAAAAAATAAATGTGATAGTTTAAGTATTTGTCAGTTTTGGTTTTATTATTAATTTGGGGGTTTCAAATTATGTTTAATGTAGGACAATAATGAGTCCATGGGGTAATGGGAGTAAGTTACATTTCTAGTTTTCTATATAAGTTATGTAATCTCATTCTGACAAAAGTGAACCAGAAGAACAAGAGTAAACTAGAGAATCAGAGAAATAAGAGAAAAGTATTATTTAGTAAAAGTTCTTATTCTCTGTACGTCTTACAGCTCTTCTTTGTTCCGCACGTCTGTTAGTATAACAGAGTGGTTTTGTAGAATTCAGTTCTACTTTCTTTGTTTTTACAACATTGTGGTATCAGAGCGTTAGGTTTCAGTCCCCTTTGATCTTTGTGTAGAAAAGACAAAGTGAGCGTTTGCGTTTCAGTTCTCTTTGATCTTTGTGTGGAAAAGACAGAGTGAGCGATGGCAGCCAATGGAGGAAACCAACAGCTATCAGTTCCGCAGTTCAAGGGTGAGAAGTATCATCTTTGGAGTCTTAAGATGAAGACTATGTTCAGGTCTCAAGAGATTTGGGATTTGGTGGAGAATGGATTTGAAGATGCGAATCCAGCAGAACCCGAGCAGCAGCTACGGGAGAATCGCAAGAAGGATGCGAAGGCGCTGTTCTTCATTCAGTCAGCCTTGGATGAAGATATCCTGTCACGGATTGTAGCCGTGAACACGTCTCACGAAGCGTGGGAAATTTTGAAGCGTGAGTACCAGGGAGATCAGAAGGTAATCACTGTGAAGCTTCAGACTCTACGTCATAATTTTGAAACAATTGTGATGAAGGAGAAAGAGTCAATACAAGAGTATTTGGCAAGGGTGTCAAACATTGTGAGCCAAATGAGATCTTATGGCGAAACTGTGCCAGACGTAACTATTGTGAGTAAAGTTCTCAGAACTTTAGTTCCAAAGTTTGAGTATGTTGTTCCTGCGATCATGGAAGCCAATGATCTGAGCAAATACACGTTTGATGAGATGATGAGTTCGTTGTTGTCGCATGAAGATCGTCTTGGTAAGAAGGTTGAGAAGTCTGAGGAGAAAGCTTTCCAGGTGAAGGGAGAGTACTCAGGACAGGGCCACAGTAATGGTTCTGGTAGAGGATCTGGCAGAGGAAAAGGCAGATCTGGAGGTCGCGCAGACCATGACCGTGGAAGAGGTCAGAACAACACTGGTGGGTCGTACAGCAAAGGTACAGACAAGAGCAATATTGAGTGTTATTATTGCAAAAGTTGGGTCATATGCAAGCTGATTGTTGGAAGAAGCAAAATAAAGAAAAGAAAGCGAGCTTTGCAGAAGAAGATGTGCAGCCGAGACTTTTCATGGCATACAAGAGTCTAAATGTGTCTGAAGAAGTGTGGTATTTGGACAGCGGTTGTTCTAATCATATGACAGGCATCAAGTCATTGTTTAAGGAGATAGATGAGTCGTACAAGCTGAAAGTCAAGCTTGGGGATGACAAAGAAGTTCAAGTTGAAGGAAGAGGAATCGTTTCTGTCAAAGATAGAGATGGTAATCTCAAATTCATCTATGATGTGTATTACATTCCTGATCTAGCGCAGAATCTGTTGAGTGTTGGTCAGATGGTGGAAAACAATTGTTCTGTTCTCTTTGATGGGGATGTGTGTGTTATCAAGGATAAGAAATCTGATTTCACAGTAGCAGTGGTGAAGAAGACTGCAAACAATCTGTACCCGTTACAGATGTCGTCTATTGAAGCAAGTGCTTTGGTTGCGAAAGTTTCAGAGATGTCAAGGTTGTGGCATTTACGATATGGGCATCTACACGAGAATGGGATGAAGATTCTCAGTCAGAAGAATATGGTGGTTGGATTACCACATATTGATGCTTTTGGGATGTGCGAAGGATGCATATATGGGAAACAAACGCGGAGGTCATTTCCTGTTGGTCAGGCAAGGAGAGCAACTCAATGTCTTGAGATTGTTCATGCTGATTTGTGCGGTCCTATGCAGACTACTTCTCTTGGAGGAAGTAAGTATTTCCTGATGTTAACAGATGACTACAGCATGATGAGCTGGGTTTATTTTTTGGTGTCTAAAGGTGAAGCATTTGAGATGTTCAAGAAATTTAAGGCACTAGTGGAGAAACAAAGTGGGTTGTTAGTCAAGGTGTTGCGAACTGACAGAGGTGGAGAGTTCACATCTACTGAGTTCAACCAATTTTGTGAAGATGAAGGTATTCATCGTGAGCTTACTACAGCTTATACACCGGAGCAGAATGGTGTAGCAGAGAGGAAGAACAGGACTGTTGTAGAGATGGCGAGAAGTATGTTGAAACAGAAGAATTTGCCAAATCTGTTTTGGGCTGAAAGTGTGAGCACAGCAGTGTATCTGCTGAACATTTCACCAACAAAAGCAGTCGCAGACAAAACTCCATATGAAGCGTGGTGTGGCAGAAAACCTGCAGTAAGTCACTTGAGAATTTTTGGCAGTGTTGCATATTCTCTTGTTGATATTCATCTTAGGAGAAAGTTGGATGACAAATCTGAGAAATGCATTGGTTATTGTTCACAATCCAAAGGTTATAGATTGTATAATCCTGTGAGTGGGAAGATTGTTGAAAGCAGGAACGTCACATTCGATGAGGATGCAGTTTGGAGTTGGTGTGAGGGTGATAACGGTGAGCTTGTTGAAGTTCAGCTAGACAGCTCTGTAGAACAGCACGGTACTGTTGAGCAGGGAGAGAATCAGAGTCCAGTTGGTTCTGAAGGTCATACACCCGCAAATTCAGTCCTTAATTCGCCTAATAGCAGTGGTCACAACAACAGAAGCGGTGACACAAGCAGTGAAGAAGAAAGTCCTACTCGAAAATTTAGATCCCTGAGAGAGGTTTATGAAGTTCAGCAAGCGTTGTTCATTTCTGAGCCAGGATCGTTCAACGAGGCTGTAGAGGAATCAGAGTGGCAGAAAGCAATGGATGAAGAGATAGAGTCCATAGAGAAAAGTAAGACTTGGGAGTTAGTTGAGCTTCCTGAAGGCAAACACGCAATTGGTGTGAAGTGGGTATTTCGAACAAAGTATCATGCTGATGGTAGTGTTCAGAAGTATAAAGCAAGACTGGTGGTCAAAGGCTATGCACAAGAGTACGGAGTGGATTATGAAGAAACATTTTCTCCTGTTGCAAGGTTTGATACAGTGAGAGTTTTACTTCAGTTTGGTGCAAGTATGAATTGGCCAATGTATCAGTTTGATGTTAAGTCAGCTTTCTTAAATGGTGAGCTACTTGAAGAGGTTTATGTTGATCAGCCTGAAGGTTTTGTGGTTGAAGGCCAAGAAGGGTGCGTGTACAAGTTACACAAGGCATTGTATGGGCTGAAGCAGGCTCCGAGAGCTTGGTACAACAAGATTGATTCGTTTTTTGCAGAAACTGGGTTTGAAAGGAGCAAAAGTGAGCACACTCTCTACATAAAGAAGAAAAGTGAAGGTGATATCCTTATTGTGTGTTTATATGTAGATGATATGATTTACATGGGTTCGAGTGCTGCACTTGTTGCTGATTTCAAGGAGAGTATGATGAAGAAGTTTGAAATGTCAGACTTGGGTTTGCTGCATTATTTTCTGGGGTTAGAGATTAAGCAAGTGGAAGATGGGATATTTGTGTCTCAGCACAAGTATGCAAAAGATTTGTTGAAGAGGTTCAACATGACGAATTGCAATCCGGTGGAAACTCTTATGAATGTGAATGAGAAGTTGCAGTTGGAAGATGGAACAGAAAAAGCGGATGCAACAAGATTCAGAAGTTTGGTTGGTGGTTTTATCTATTTAACTCATACAAGACCAGCTATTTCGTTTGCTGTGAGTGCAATTTCAAGGTATATGCACAGTCCAACGAAGCAGCATTATGGAGCAGCGAAGAGGTTGTTGAGGTATGTTGCAGGTACAGCGGACTATGGTCTGTGGTACAACAGGGTTGGAGAGTTTGAGTTGGTTGGGTTTACAGACAGTGATTGGGCAGGCTGTGTGCAAGACAGAAAAAGCACGTCAGGTCATGTTTTCAATCTGGGTTCTGGAGCGGTGTGTTGGAGTTCTAAGAAGCAGCATGTTACAGCTTTGTCGTCGTCAGAAGCAGAGTATACAGCAGCTACAGCAGCAGCGTGTCAAGCTGTTTGGTTAAGAAGAATTCTTGAAGATGTCAAGCAAGGGCAGAAGAAGCCTACAACAATTTTTTGTGACAACAAGGCAAGCATAGCAATGAGCAAGAATCCGGCGTATCATGGAAGAACAAAGCATATATCTATCAAGGTACACTTCATAAGAGACTTGGTCAGTGAAGGTTCAGTTACTTTGGAGTATTGTAGCACAAACGAGCAGAGTGCAGATGTTCTGACAAAGGCGTTGTCAAAGAACAAGTTTGAGTACTTCAGGAGCAAGCTTGGAGTATGCAAGTTTGAATCAAGGGAGAGTGTTGAAATGTGATTCAATGCTTGGTCAAAGAAATAAATGTGAGAGTTTAAGTATTTGTCAGTTTTGGTTTTAGTATTAATTTGGGGGTTTCAAATTATGTTTAATGTAGGACAATAATGAGTCCATGGAGTAATGGGAGTAAGTTACATTTCTAGTTTTCTATATAAGTTATGTAATCTCATTCTGAGAAAAGTGAACCAGAAAAACAAGAGTAAACTAGAGAATCAGAGAAATAAGAGAAAAGTATTATTTAGTAAAAGTTTTTGTTCTCTGTACGTCTTACACCTCTTCTTTGTTACGCACGTCTGTTAGTATAACAGAATGGTTTTGTAGAATTCAGTTCTACTTTCTTTGTTTTTACAACATTCACAATAGTGTTAAAGTTCTGTGAAGAGAAACAAGCAAAGAGAACAAAAATTCATCGAAGAACGGACCGGATCAGCCTTTTTAGTAGTACTAGTGGTGTTCACAAGAAGGTCATGTGGCAGCGTATCGATCGATCCTTTTTTTTTGTGAGCCATTAGATCTAAAAGCCAAACGGAAGAGAAGATCGGAACCGTCCACTTGTAAACTAAAGAAGCATTCTCTATAAGGGTTGACGTCAAAAGTCTCCCTATTTATGACGCCATAAAACAAATTATCGACGTGGACTTATTTGGTGTGTTGCCAGGTTGTTTCCTTTGTCGTTCTAGGAACGTTCATTATTTCCATTTTTATTTTCTCTCTTTTTGTGTTAATATACTAAGCCATATATATACATACACCTCTTCATTGCCATTTTAGCTTATCTATCACAGAAACATCACAAAACCTAGATTTGATCTAAGCTCTCTTTCTTCCTCTTCTTCCAAATATGGCAGGGAAGAGGTTGTTCCAAGATCTTGATTCCGACCAAGATCAAAATAATTCAGACAAACGAATTAAATCTCTACCATCCTTTTCCTCGTAATTTCTTTTCTCATACAATTTTGATTCTCTTTCTTTTTCTTCTTCTTATATATTTTGGTTATGGTGAATCATTTCTACAACCTTCTATCTTTGTTTAGAGTTTGTTTCATCTTTCAATCTTTTTTAATCACACATGCTTGTATTTTATCCTATCTCTCTCTTACTCTCTTATCCACAAAGATATATCATAACTTATTTAAATCTTAATATACTCTTGAATTTTTGTTCTCTGACTTTATATTTTTCGCATAAAGTTTTGTTTCTTATTACTTCTTTTACTCGGGAATTTCCAGTGTGCTTGGAGCATTGATCACGGAGACCACCATGAAGAGCTTCTCTTCAGCCCTAGAGCCCGTTCTTCGAAAAGTTGTAAGTACACTGTAATTTCCACCTTTAGTTTGTTTGTTACTTTTAAATTCTTGTTCTATGTTTACACTGACATATACATATGCCAATACTGTATTTTAACTATCACTAGGTTCATCATATGGGTATCTTTACTTTAAAACTGACAACTCATCACGGATATATAGGACTTGGAATATTGTCAATTTAACAAAAATAACTGAGTATCAAAGATACATATTTACATGTTAATCATATGCATATAGTTAAGTAACAAGTGTTGCATACAATTATACGAGTCAGTCTAGCATTGACGACGTCTTAATGTGAGAGTTGTAATTTGATAAATGATAAAATAAGAAAGATTCGATCGTGTTGCTAGTATACTATTGTTTATACATTTTATGTACAACATATATGTATATATACTTGCATACATATATCACACATGTATATAGCACATACATCCATCAAATATATCACAACGTCATGATTCATTAAGATAACACTAAAATATTTACATAGTTATATAAATCTTTTTAGTTTTGATAACAAGACCTCTCTAACCTAAATATCTAAAAAATTAAAATTAAAACAAAAGAATGGTCCACAGAGATCACATATTGTTTATATGTAAACATATACCATTGACAAAATCTACATAGGCCGACCTATTTATTTTACAAAAAAAAAGTGTTTTTAACATTATGATTTTGTTTGGTGGATATAGTTGTTTTTTAGATTCTTAATATTAAAATTAAATCTGATCGAGTTACCTTTTAGTTTTTCATGTATTCATTCATTCACACATTATATTGATCGAATATAATAAGAGAGGTTAATTGATGGGATGCACATGAGTATACTGTAATTACACGAAAAATACTGAACTAAAATATGCATATTACATTACATTGTTCAATTTGTATAATAAAATATCAAACGGGAAATAAAAGTTTTATTAACCCTCAATTTAATTGGTGATGCATGAACAAAACAGGTAAGACAAGAAGTGGAATACGGAATAAGTAAAAGATTCCGATTTTCTCGGTCGTCGTCGTTCCGGGTGGAAGCTCCGGAGAATACTACTCCGACGTTAAAGCTAATGTTCCGTAAGTGCTTAATGACACCAATATTCACCGGAAGCAAAATCAGTGACGTGGACAACAATCAACTTGAGATCATCCTCGTCGACGGTTCAAACAATCAGGTGAACCTCGACCGTCCGATCAAACTAGACATAGTTCCTCTTCACGGAGATTTTCCTTCGGGTGAGAAATGGAGTAGTGATGAGTTTGAGAGCAACATCGTCAAAGAAAGGGACGGGAAACGTCCATTACTTGCCGGAGACGTATCATTGACGGTGAGAAACGGCGTTGCGACGATCGGAGAAATCGTGTTCACAGATAACTCGAGTTGGATTCGTAGCCGCAAGTTTAGAATCGGTGCGAAAGTTGCCAAAGGTAGTAGCGACCAAGGTGTCGCGATTTGTGAAGCCATGACTGAAGCGATTGTTGTTAGAGATCATCGTGGAGAATGTAAGTTCCTTTTTTCTTCATTAATTTACTACTGACTACTGTAGTTATTATTTTACCTTAGCTAGAAATAATTAGTGAACATATATAACAAATGAACCTATGCACCATCATATATATATAAAGGATTTTGGTTTTATCTGTTTTAAGACAATCTTGGTTTTAATTAAAAGTATAAAGAATTTATTAGATCAAAACTGTTGAAAGTTTGTAGTGATATGTTTTGTCTACTAATGTTAATTCTGGTTCCTTTGTCTTTACATACACACATTTTTTCTTCTTCGTTTTTTTCTTTTCTCCTTGGAACACAACAAATTACTTGAGTGTTTTCGATTTGGACCATATATGCAAACGACTGTCCACTTTATAGAAATGGCCCTAAAGTCTTTGGTCAATGCTTATATCTTATTAATCTTTTTTGAAAATAAAGCTTTATATATATATATATATATATATATATATATATATATATTTGGAACAATATAAGACGCAAATCCTAATTTGATGGGTTCAACAAAAAACATGCATATAAAGCTGATGATATATATAAAGTAAGATGCATAGTAGAAATTAAATACAAATTCTAAATAGCTTTGTTTTTGTACAACTTGGGGTTGGTGAAGTGTACAAGAAACATTACCCACCAATGTTAGAAGACGAAGTGTGGCGGCTAGAGAAGATAGGCAAAGATGGGGCCTTTCACAAGAAGCTCTCCTCCATGAACATCAACACCGTCCAAGACTTTTTGAAGTTATCAGTCGTTAACCCCGAACAACTTCGTCAGGTTTAAATTCTATTATCTAATTAATTTGGTATATTGTTTGACCCCCAAACAAAGTTTAATAATCATTAGAACTAATAGCGGTAATTATATATATATATTTGTTGTTATGTACAGATTTTGGGCCCTGGAATGTCTGATAAAATGTGGGAAGTAACATTAAAACATGCTAGAGAGTGTGTTTTGGGAAATAAGTTATACATCTCCAAAGGACCGAATTATTTCATGATTCTGAATCCGATATGCGAAGTTATGAAAGCAAGGATCGATGGTCATGATTTCTCTAGCCAAGAAGCCCTGAATCAGGTATATATTTACAATAGCTCAGTGGTTGTTCATTGAATTATTTATTGGTTAGAAACCCGTTTTTACATGTCGTGGATGGGTAATATTTGGTTGCAGCACTACGTTAAGGACTTAGTTCGAGAAGCTTACTTAAAGTGGACCTTGTTAGAAGTGAGCGAAAGAACAAGGAACGAGACTGCTCTTTCGACACAAGGTACTTTAAATTAAAGTCGATGTAAACACCACTTATGTTTTGTTTTTCTTTCTATAATGGCTCAACATTGTTGATTATATTAGTAGCAACTGAAACTCAAATTAACAACAATATAACTTGGATTGCGTAGGTGATGGGTTGGAGCAACAATATGCTGAGGGCCACTACCACAACATCGAAATCAATAGATCATATCAACAAAACGGATATGTTCACGAGAGTGTTACGAACAACTCAGAGATAGTAAACGAAGGGTATCTATCGACTCCAGCGGAATACGACATATGTTTCATCGGATCTTCGTCCCAAAACCATATAAACCCCTTCTAAATGATCATCTATCTACCGTCAGTATTGGAAGACAGACACACCCAATGGTGCAGCGTTGACAGCGAATTGGACTCTCTCTAAATGAGGGTTTTTCTAATCTACTACATGGTAAAACATGTAATCTATATCTGCAGATCCCATCAGTGTACATAAAAGTGTGAAATCTAGAGTCATCTTTTTTTCGTTGAATGGTATACCACTTGTTCACGTTTTCATCTAAATATGAAAACGTTGTTTTTTACCATTCACAATTTTAACAAATTTTTACTTTTTAGCAATGTATAACGTTTCGTGATTGTCCAACACAAATCTGTTCCGCTCTAGATGTTTCCACTTAATCGTTATTTGGATATACATCATAACATTTAAGCATATCCATAACTTTTTGAAGAGTAACAAATAGAGAATTAGTATGCCACTGTATATGCTATTGCTCTATTAAACCCCAAAAGAACATTTACCTTACCAATCCTCATTTACACAACAACGCATTGGCGAAATTGAAATCGAAGCTTAAAAGTTGGAAAAGTAGAAGACTCTAAAATATGACAATTTGAATGATCTTATCTTGTTAATCTAGCGTAGAAGTAGGAGAATGAGAATCCCTACGAAGCTCCTTGACGAGAGTAGCGAGAGCCTCAGGGTTAAGGCCAATATCGCAAAGAGCAATGAGAACTGACAAAGTATGTCGATCCAGACCCGTCTCCAGTATGTTGGACATCCGAAACACTAGCTCCAACGACTCTCTCGCTGTTTCTGCTGCTTCCTCATTCATTCTCTGTTCCAAACATCATCCAGATTAATACACGAATTCAATTTTGACTTTCGGAGACAGGTTCAATATTATTATCTTGTACAGATCTCCATTTAGATCCTAAGAAGAAGGTTGAGGAAACAAAACGAACCAATTAAGCGATGGGCATAAGACAACGGACGGTGTCGAGTCTGAGGGACAAGGAGTGCGACTTAGATCTCTATCAGAGCTTGAGATTTTTCAGTCTTGTGATCGAAGACGACTACACGATAACGGAACAACACTTTCAGGAATGCTAGGGATTTTATTTACCAAAGAAAAATTAAACCTTTTGACCGGTTCGGAAAAAATTAACGTAACTGGTTCAATACAAAATCGGCCGGTTAACATAAAATCCGCCGGTTCTAATATTTATCATTCGAGATTTCTTCAGGTTATCAAAGTGACGAGTTTTCATGTCATATAGAAGAAGCAAAACTCATACATCAGTAATGTAAAAGTCCAAACTCATAAGTAAGAAACTTGGAAGTAGAGAAAAAAACTCATCCATGATGATGTCTTTTTAACTTATTGATCAATACAGAACCAAAAGGATGAGCAAAGGGACACCAGACACCCAACAAAGCAATAAACAGAACATTGAAAGTGAGAAAAACGATATACTGAGACTAGCACTTGGGATACGGACAATCACATTCAGTGGCGATCTTTTTGGCATTTGGTGAGTTAAGGAAAGATTTGAAGTTAGGGTTCCTCAAGTACTGGCAAACACAGTGCTTTTGCTCTCTCACCTTCTTGCAGCACAGATTCGATGGATAAGAACCTTTCTGTATGGTGTCCAAGCATGGGCTCAGCTGCATAGGATCACATGGCTCTTCTGCAGCGACTCTGTTTTCTTGAGCAACAATGAAAATGAGAAGGATTGCACAAGTGAATACCACTTGTTTCGGGCAAGAACCCTTCATTGTCTCTCTATGTTAAGAGTTTTTAGAGAAAGAAGAAAGAGGAAGAAGGAGATATTTGGTTTGGAGTGAGTTGGAGTGAGTTTCACTCGTTCTATTTATAGAAGCAGATGGCTTTGCAGTAAGTCACGTTACTCAAATGAGAGTTTGTGGTTGCAGGAGATCTCGATATTTCTAAAAGGAATTATAGTTTCTCTTTAACATGCTCGGACAAAGCATAAAAGCCTAAACACCATTTGGGAGAAGTTAAGAAACCACGTGCATCCAACATAGATGTCAGCTTTCGGCTAACCCCCGTGAAGGTATATGAATTTGTTAACACTTAAAACACCTTCATAGTTATATTTTAATTCATTACCATGGTATAATATAATGTATGTACTACAACAACTCTAATTTCTAGTTATATTCAAAAGTCAGAACTTACAGCCAACTTGCACCAAAAGTTGTACTGTTTCCATTCACTATGTAGTTGCTTCTTTCAAAATCTTCGAAGTAGAGCGAAGTCTGTAAACCAAGAAGGGCACCAATTAGAATACTTCGATCTCAATGTTTAAACATATAGCAGGCCATGAAAGATAAGAAGATATGCTGCAAACAGATAGATAATAAGTTTACTAACACAACATTTTAGCCATCAAGGTTTTCATACTTTGCACATGATAGATAGAATAAACAAAGTCCGAGACACATGATTAAGCAAGAAATCACATGCTCAAAGATTAAACAGTCTCTAACAACTTCTCTCATGTTAGAAAATCTCTCATGTACTAAATGAAATGTATATCCCTTTACTCAAGTTATACAAGTAGAAAATGCAAAAAGTGACCAAAAAGGAGACTGTAAATTGCAGAAGGAAAATGTTATCTTTGCGAGTATCATAAGGCGCAGAATAGAAAACTTACCATGTTAATCACTTTCAGAAGTGTCGGAATAAGACGAGGGATTAGCTTTCAGGCCATCAATCTTGATATCGACATCAGACAAGCCAATGTCTTTCAGGCCATCAATCTTGATATTGACATCAGACAAGCCAATGTCTTTCAGACCATCAAACTCTATGTCGGAATCAGAGGAATCACCATCTCTCGGGCCATCAATTTCGAAATCGGAATCACCAGAGGCATCACTCTCAGTATCAGATTCAGAGTGAGTGTCATCGGCATAGTTAACTGGATACTTACGCACCTCCTCCATGACCTCATCGTCACTATCGTCGTGCTCCCCTGATAACTTCCTAATCATCATTAACTCAAATAATTCAGGAATCGTATCCTCATCTCCATCATCCAAAAACCTTCGAATTCTCGTTTTCAGCTCTGTAACAAACCAAATGGATAAAAAGAAAGACACCATATTAATATAGTATACGCAAATTGTAAATCTTTACATGAAAAATTGAAGCGCTGGTAACATTACACATCATAATTAGTTCAAGTATCAGCAAACTCCGTGGAACTTATCATTGCAAAATACTTTATTTCGGTTCACAAATCTTAACCCATTTCCTCAAAGTTTCAAAATTTCATGGGAACCAAACGAAAAGGAAAGTTGAATTGACGAAATGTTACCTTCTTTAGAAACAACCTCGTCGCTGTTCACACCACGCGCCGAGTCCGAGTCGGACTCGGAAGAGAAGAAGACGGACCCGGAAACAGCTCGGTCGAAGAGAGGAACAACAGCAAGACGAGCATTGGTGTTCAAATTCACGGGTGAGTGAAGGAAACTTCGAGCCAATAAACTGGGACATCTCTGTAGAAAGCGTCTCATGGGATTCGTCTCCAGAGAGACTAGTAGGGTTTTGACTTTGTCAGAGGATCATAAAATTAGGGGTTTTGAATCAACAAGTACTGTAAATTAGTTTTTTTTTAACCGCTCTTTTCTTCGTTCCCTTCCCGGTTATCATAACTGGATTTGACAGAATTGGGCCGAGTAACTGTTGACCAATCTATTTTTTATTGTCGTTGATTAGCATATTGAACAAAGCCCACTAAGGTCCAGCTCAAACTTCACTCTTTTTTTTTTTTCTTTTTTTCTCAAAGGTAATTAATCTGCTACCAGTCTATCAGGGGAATTTTCATCTGAGGGGTCCGATTTTAAAAAATAATTTGCTGTCGACAAAAAAAAATAATAATAATTTGTTTGAAAATTTTTACATGAAAATTATGAATATTTTTTTTCATGGAGCGAATATATATATCAATGACAGTAATTGGTTATTGCTTATTAACAACTAGTAATATTTTCCAACAAATCCGGACCCAATGTTCTCTCGATTCATGTGTTTTTAAGTGGCAGATTATACAGAGTAACATTATTTTATAAATTATGGCTGTATAAAGAAACAAAACAAAAAAGATATCTCAAAAATATATTAACTTGTGAGTTGTGGCCTTCTTGTGTGAGCCTCTCTAATGTTTTCTTGTCTTTCATGCCTCGAATAAAATACCTCTGACAAAGAAAAAAAGTAAAAGTTATCATATGAGACCTTTTTTTTTTCTATTTATGCAAGCAAAAGACAATAAAATTTCCTCAATCTATCTATCTTCGTTTCTGAACAAAAGTGAACCCAAAACCAAAACCAAAACCAAAAGAAAAAAGAAGTTATTCAAATCAAAGTCAAGACTTTGATATCAAGTTAAGAAAAAAACAGAGGGGGGGGGGGGTCCAACTCTAAAAAAGGCTGTTGAGTAGTGAGAAATGAGAATCTAAAACTGAGCGGATAGCTGAATACCTAATCTACCCTCTCACTTGCCTCATAATTTCAAACATAGCAACAGCCAACAGTCCTAAAAACTCTGAAGTTAAAGTATAAACCACACATATACGCAACTCACGGGTCACGAGTAGACAAAGACATGTGAAATGAAAAAATATCTAATTCGGTGACTTATTATTATGATTAGACGTCAAACACAAACTAGAATAAATGAAAAGTGGGGTTTTTGATTAGCTAACGTACTAATTACTTTTCAATTAGTTTTCACTAATCCAACTTCTTCCCCGCGCGCTGTGACTGTCTTTTTAACTTTCCCCTCCGTTCCGTTCTCTCCATTATCTCTCTCTCTCTCTCCAGAGAGGAGAAAAAGAAGAAGACAATGCCAGTTTCTGCAGAGCCTTATTCGTCTTCTTCGACGACAATAGGTCAACACATCAGACTCCAACGACCTAGGAATCCTCGAAATCCCCATCCCATTTCCACCGCCGACGAACCTCTTCTCCCCAAACCTAGCCGCGTCTCTAAATCCGCCATGTCTTCCTTCTTCCTCTTACCACCAGCTTCTTCCAACGACACCACCACAAGGAAACCCACCCAAACGGCGTCGTTCCGCGGGCTGGGCTGCACAACCTCCGCCTCTCAACAAGTCTCTGTCCCCGCTGTGATTCGCTCTTCCGCAGATTGGGATGCGAGTGATTACAAAACCAAGAAGACCAAGAAGGACAAGAAGAACAAAGCTGGTAGATACAATGCCGGTTCGGTTAGGATCTTGACCGAAACTAGTAGTAGTAGTAACATTGGCTGCTCGGCGATTCCTGATGTTTGGTGCGGACCTGGAGTTGGGTTTTCCACGGATGCTGTCGTTGGCGGCTCCATTGACACTGTCGAGTCAGATCCTCCCAGAAGGAATATTCCGGTGAGACGCAAAATCGATGGAGATAAAACCAATAGTAGCTATAATAACCAAAGAGAGGTACATTTACATTTTCTATTTCTTTGTGCTTATGTTAAAGTTTCCATTTTTTATTATTCGTTTTTTTTTTTGCCTATGTTTAAATTTGATTTTTGATTTTTGATTATAAAATTTAGTTTATAGGGAATATCTTAGAATATATGATTTGCGTTTATCTGATTTTTTTTTTTTGAGGGGGAATGATTTGCGTTTATCTATTAGTTAGCAAACTTTAGCATTAGGGTTTGTATCGTTTTGATTTATGTTAATCGTCTATTCCGAAGTAGAGTAAGAGTAGGCTTTGCGCCCTCATTCCCTCGTTTTTTCTTTTATTATTCAGTCGACAATTTTGTTACAAGCTTCTGTGAAGTAAAAGTAAGATTGTTTACACTGTTCTTGTTTATAATTTAACTTCAGACTCTTTTGATTGAACTGATCAACTTTAATAGAAGCCATAATACATATAACTCTTGATTTTGGGTGGAGTGTTATAGTAGTTAAAGTGATCATATCAGTCAGGTTTGGATTATTTTGTGTTCCTAAGTCTTTTTTTTAAAAAATTTACTGTTACAATGCAGGGTTCTTCTCTTCTTCCTAGACGATCTCTCAATCAAGAATCCAATCCTTACTTTGATTCTCATTCGACCTTTTTGACATCCCGGGCTGAACGGAGTGAAAGATATCATCGTCATCTACTACAACCTTACCCTGATGGACTCGCTGAGGTAAGTGTGTTTTATTGACTAAGTTTCACTGAGATTGTGCAACGTTTGTTTATTCATCTGTCCGTTTCATTTGATTGCAGATGATGATGATGCAGAATGGTGTTGTAATGGGAGGGGTAGTGAGCTCAAACGACCACTTCCGCGATTTGAGGCTCAATGTCGATAACATGACCTACGAGGTAAGGTGTTGTCTTCTTCACAAAGTACAAGTAGAATAAGCTGATGATGTCTCTAGGTTCTGAAGTGATGTGTATGTTTTATGGTTTAAAAAAAACAGCAACTTTTGGAGCTTGGTGATAGAATTGGGCATGTGAACACTGGACTTAATGAAAAACAGATCAAAAGCTGTCTCCGGAAAGTTAAACCATTCCGTTTTGATACACCATTTGAAGATCGAAAGTGCATCATCTGTCAAGTAAGTCCAGATTTGGTTTCATTGCTCTAGTCCAAATCAGTTCTTTGTAGAAGAAACTTGTGTTAAGATTGGTGATAAAACAGAGTTGTTTCTCAAGCATTAATTAATGTTTGTGTTCGTTTGTTTGTTTGTTTGTTTGACAGGAAGAGTACGAGGCAAAGGACGAGGTAGGGAAGTTGGGATGTGGGCATAGGTTCCATATCCAGTGTGTGAAACAATGGCTAGCGAGGAAGAACTCTTGTCCTATTTGTAAAACGACTCCGTACGTTAAGTCTTAGATTGAGGAGATGATGATTCTTCATTTCGGGATTGAAACCAATCACAATTTTTATTTATTATTCGTTAAGAGAACCATTATTCATGATTCCTGTTTTAGTTTACTTCTGAAATAACTGTTTGAAACTTTGTATTGCCTATGATGGAAATTTCTCAAGAGAAATTGTGAACCCCACATTGCTTGTGGGTGGGTTCGTTCATGTTTTGTTTGGTGATAATTAGGTCGTCAACTACAAAAATGTTTGGCAGATCTAGCATTATATAAATCACATGAATTTTTTTTGATGAGATTGTTACGTGCAACTTGCACGGTGCAAGTAACATCATGTATCTTAAATTAAAACTTTCACCAGTCTAAAATAAGTTGATATCGATTATTTACTACTTTGCTTTTAAGATATGTGTACATGATTTGTGTGTATATGCATACATGATTGTGTGTATAGAACGTATATCGGTATATGTGTACCTTTTTTTATATACAGAAAGAAGAATCAATCCCATTTAAAATATCGGTTATCTTAACACTCATCATGTTGCTGAAGAAATCGAGTAATCAAAGGATATACTTCACTCCGTGCCTGAAGTGAAAAGGAAATTTGAAGGTTGAATTTGAATTTGAATACATACATATGCAATATGACTTGTAAAAAAGAATGAAGAGTAAATGGATCAGTACATACCATTCGACCAGAAAGCAGATCCTGATGGCCATAATGTGGACCTCCGGGTGATCCTAAAACTTTGAAAGTAGCTAGATGTTCTGGAATCAGCTTGACAGTATCTGCTCACCCGATCAACACCAACGAACACCGTTATTAAAAAGAACAAAATTTTGAGTTCGCGGTTTAAATATGTTGTAGACTAACTACCGTATACAGCATCAGGAGGGCAGATTATGTCCCAGTCCCCTGCAAGAGCTAAGATCGGCACATTTGTTTTGCTGATATGATCCTTGTAATAGAAAGTACCAGTTCTGTCACGCAGTCCACCTTGGTTCACAACTGTTGTTAGCTGCAAGAGAAGCTTAACTGGTACTGTGCCTGTTTTGTTTCTCAAAATAACGTGAATATGCCTAGTATTAAATAAGAGCTGAAGTTTGAGAAAATGTAAAGTAGTAGTTTGAACTCACTTAAACTGTTCAAAACAAGCTTCTCAATCACTTCGGGGTCCATCATTTGAGGAGCAGAAATATTAGCTGTTAACCAGGACAAAGCATATGGAGGACGAAACATTAAAGGGTGAGCCATCGCGAGCATTGTGTCAATCGGCATGATAGGCAGGTTAATAGCTTCTGCAGGCTCTTTCTGCAGCAAAAACGACATTTAAGATCAATGATTCAGTCATTTTTTTCCTTTCAAGAGTGTCACAGCATGGTGATTGGCTCGTGAGTACTTACGATGGGTAATAGGTACTTGAGGAGTGTTCTTGAAGATGAATAATCTAATGTTGATGCTAGAGTGGCCACAGAAGCCAGCCCCGAGTCTATTCCTTTAAAGCCTAGTGAAGAAACGTGACTGAGCCAAAATGTGACGACTATGACTTACATTTTAAAGAAAGAAACTATCAGCCTATACGATGTATGAGAGAAGTTACCACATCTTGAGAGCATGGCGTATAACAAGATACCACCCATTGAGTGACCAACAGCGAGCAACTTCCCATCTTTAGGTTTGGTTTGAGCCCTCACATACTCCATCTGAGACCAAGACGCCATACAATTAGACATACATTGCTATAGTAGCGCGTAAGCAGGTGGCCGACTAGAGAAGAATAAACAAGAAGTGTCACCTCACCGCAGAAGGAACATCTTCTTCTAGATAGTTATCAAAATCCCAATTGTAGTGAGGGATAAGTTCAAGCCGCTGCTTGAAATCTCCCACTCTCTTAGATATACGGTCTTGCAGCCCAATGATCTTGGAACCTGCAAGTTCTTTCTCAGTAAATAGACAAATATTCTCTTCTCTGGTCTCAACAGAACGAACCAAAACAAAAATGGTTAGAGAGAGAGAGAGAGAAAGTAAAGAATCAATCAACCTCCATCAAGAACATTTTCCAGTCTCTCAGATACACTTATGAGATTCTGCAATAGATTTGAGACTATCCACTGCTGGTTCGCTTTCCCTTGTTCGTCAACAAACAAGATTTATCAGAGAAAGTAATTAACATTATAGCCAATAGTTTAGAGAATCATCATCATGCCTTTACCAAGATTTGTATCAGCACTTAGAGAACTCAACCCGGCTCCACGGAGCTCAAGAATCCATGTATCAAATCCAGAACCAGACATGAATCTTGCGAAGGAACACTATAAAAATGAATATTAACAGAACCAAACAAAACGTTTAGATTCAAAAAACAAACTTGTGTTCCAAGAATCCAGTTTAGTATACACTACAAGCTCACGCCTAAACTAACTCAATCAGTATAAGAAAGAAAACAAGAAAATGAAAGAAACCTCAGGGGAAAGATCGAATGTAACAGCATTGGTCCCAATCCCAGACAGTAGAAGCAAAGGGTGTTTCCTCTTCGGTGCCTGTAAGTGTATATATATACGTATATAAGTACACCTATACGTACATGTGCGTATATATATTAGTTATTTAGTTAGTACCTTTGGGGAAGGAAGATATCGCCAGAGAGCGAGGCGCCAATCGGAGTTTGGAACAGTAACATAGTGGAGTTCATCCGCCGTGCAAATTTCATTCACCGTCGTCCTCGCGGCGGAAGAGATCGTCGGATATGATGAGCCAACGAGTCTACCGCCGAGTCGCAGTGAGGAGAAGAAGTGCCGAGAGTGACTGTGTAAAGAAGCAGTGGCTACAGCGGAAGTGAAGGAAGCTGAGCTAAACTCGAATCGGAGAGCATCCATTACCACCAATGTCGCCGCCGGAGAAGAACGACGGTTATTTGGTTATATTTATAGATGGTGGAAGATCTCTCTCAGTCACTTTCCGCTCAATTTCTAATTTTTGTGGTTTGCCACAAAAGAAAAAGAAAATTTTTGTGAAATTAGTTAAAACGTCGGCGCAGTTTTATCCGAAAATATAAATATCTTTACGATTCTAAAGCTCGTACTTCATCTTATGTTTTTGTCTATACTTCTCTATACACATTTGGCATTTGAATCCAGACGCCCAAACGGTGACACGACATCAATGACATTAGAAACTAAACTACGAAAGTTCATAAAGATTTGTATTGTTGTTGTTATCTGAAGTGTGTTCACGAAATCGGTAACTTGTATAAACCAAAAGTATGGGCTGTTGGATAAGATATGTTTGAAAATAGCTCAACTTCATTTATACACACGTTCGGGCAGCCGACAAATAGAGGACACGTTTTGTCGTTTTGATTCAGATAAGAGTTAAAAGATACTAGGAAGTAGAAGAAATTAAACGCTACTATTTTCATTATATTTTATTTTCTCTCTATATAGCAATACGATGTAAGAACACAAATCAAATCATAGTTCTTCAAAATCTATAATACACATATATTTCTTGTTTCACAACACTACTGTAATCTGTAGCACTCACTCTTCACACTTTGGTTAGTTTACTTGGGGGTTATTAGAATTCCATACAGGTTTTGAGCTGTGGGAAACTGATATCAAAACTTTTAAGATAGAGAAAAGAGTTTATACAACAGTAAGAATCTACCTATCTTTGGAATTGATGATAGAAATAATGTGTTTAGCAACATCTGATGCAGCTTCTGGTTTCGCACATTTGAACGCCCGCTCGCTCATTTCTGTCATCAGTTCTTCATTCCCTATCATTTGGAACCAACTCAATGAGACAATGCCAAGGACTAAGAAGTTGATAATTGAACATTGAGATTGTTGTTCAGATTTTTGGAGTTTTAGTTACCTAGAATATCTTCCATGGCAGCTCGAAGAGTAATCGAATCTAGCTCCTCTTCTGTTATCAACTTTGATCCGACACTGTCGGCCATTAAAGAAGCATTCCGTACTTGATCACCTTCATCGCTATGTGGTGATGGTATCTAAAGGAAAACAACCCAAAAGCAATACTCAATGTTTTTAGAATAAGAATGTAGCAAATTCGGCTTAACTCAAACAATTTAACATACCAAAATAGAAGGTTTGCCTAAAGCCATGATCTCTGAGCAAGTCATTGCACCGGCTCTCGAGATAACCAAATCTGCAGCTGCATAAGCCACACCTATCGACCGCAAGAACCTTGTACCCCAAAAGAAAATTCACATTTTGAGTTCTATATTACTGTGTCAAACTTCAATCTTTTCATGACAAAAGAAAGAAAGTAAAAATAAAGTAATCTCTTTGACATCATTACCAAAACCAAAAAGAGATTACACAAAAAGCTAAGGAGTTGAAATGTTGTAAAACTCACGGAGATAGAAAGAGACGAGGATGGCTTCTAACAAGACTATCCATTTCATCAAAAGCTTCAACACCAGTTTGCCAAACAAAGAACCAGTTCTCATGTTCAGACAACAACTGCGAGTAACAGTTAAGCAAAGCTATGTTAATGGCATTGGCTCCTAACGACCCACCAAGCAAAAGCACAACTTTAGCATCCGACACAGCTCCAGCCCACTGTCCGAAAAAGCTCACACGCGCCGCTCCTTTCGACGAGTACCGCCTAAGCGCTTGTCTTATAGGGTTCCCGTATACGACACACTTGGCTGCGACTCTTTTGGGGAGGTTAGTGACTGCACAGTTGAAAGGAGCGAAGATTGTGTCGGCGAAGAAAGAGAGAATCCAATTAGTGGTTCCAGGGATTGAATCTTGTTCTTGGATTACGAATGTGGTTCCTAAGATCACCGCGGCGAAGCAAACCGGGAAAGAGGCGTGTCCCCCGGTGCCAACGACGATTTGGGGTTTGAATTCGCGGAGGAGTTTGTAGGATTCGAAGGTGGATTGGATCAAGCGGAACGGGAAGTTGAGGAAAGAGGTGAAGCAGAGGAATGGTCGGGACGATGATGATCCGACGGTGGAGATGGCTGAGAAATCGAATCCGGCGGATGGAACCGTCGTGCTCTCCATACTGTTTGGGAATCCGATGAAGAGGATTTGAGCTAGTGGGTCGGCGGTTTTAAGCTCGTCGCCGATCGCTAGCGCCGAAGAGATGTGTCCGGCTGTGCCTCCGGCGGATATGACAACTCGTAAACCGGAGAGTTCGTTGGATACGGAGGAATGGTTAATTTGGCGGTCTACTGAGAAACAACAAAAGGAAGAGGAGGAGGAGGAGGAGGAGGAGGAGGAGGAAAAGGTGAGTCGACTCGGAACGAGTTTAGTCGAAGGGTAAATAGGTATATTTGGAAATATGTATGAAGGGATCGCCATTGAGGGATCACGAAACGAAGCTGAAAGAGGCAAACTATTTTTTCACAGTGGCATTTGGGCAGAAGACGAACACGATGAATGATAACGCTTTGAAGTTTCAACAAATGAACCATATGAATTTGTTCTCAGACCATTTTGGAATTGGTGAGAGATATGCAATGCGAAATTACCACTAGTGTTAGAGAGGAATAAGAATGGTCAGAAACACGATCTAACGAAATCAAAAAGAAAGAATTTGAAGAATCGATGAGATCTTACCTGATCAATCTTAATGTTTTTCTTGTCGGAATAGTCAGAGTTTGTAGAGAAAAGTCAACTCATTTGTACTTGCTCTGTTCTGTTTTTGTTGCCACGAGGTAAATGTTTTTATTTTATTTTACTTTCTCTAAGCCACGTATTATTCAAATTAAGCTGTTAATATTAGTATTAAAATTTAGAACTAAGAAAACCTTTTGGTTAAAGGAAAATAAATGGTACTAACCTTTACAAAAATTAAAAGTAGAAGAACGAGGGATATTCAAATAAAAATAACTAAACAATTGTTAAACAAATGACTTTGAAATTTTTATTTATTATTGATAAGATTTTGGTTTTTCTAAAAACAAATATTTAACCCTATTCTTGTCAATTTGCCATCACACCACATATTAAGTTTTCCTCCCCAGTGTGAAGTTAATAGGATTGGGTCATTATTTAAAATCTTGGTTGGTCTAACTAGATCATTTATATTTGTATTGGAGCACGTTAAGCGAGATTAACATAATGTTTATATACAATGGACATGGACTAAGTAAGATTTTTTAAAAAACAAGATAAATATATTTTGTATTTACAATGACTAAATGAGCTGTATCACTTACTATTGAAAGTATATAAATAAAGGAGGCGGTACAAGAAAATCGATGGTGCAACTTTTCGTAAATGCAGAACTGGTCCCAATGATGCCGCAACTTACAAATTCATCAACTAAATAGCACTTTTTAATTCTATTTCTTGAGCCAATAAAGATATTTTGTATCATGAACCACAAAAATGAAATGGGTAAAAGAGATCCCAACAACATTCCAATGAATCATATCCATACATAATGATTTTACATCCCGTTGAATCGTATCCATGCATATTTCTGTCTTTTTAATGCCGAGAGAGATTATTAGTGAAGAAAGGCCACACAGATTATTTCGTTTAAATAAAACAAAATAAATATTCTTTTGCAACAACAACAACAACAACAAATGTATAAATTGTTACTACAAAACTAGGGATAGACTCGACACGACCAACAATAAATATTTTCTTTTTTTGACACTAAAAGGGCAAAACAAAACAAAAAAAAACAGAAAGAGAAGAAAACAACTTCGTTTTTGCAACGACAGCAAAAAAAAAAAAAAAGTAAAACACATTTGGTTACGGAAAAAGAAAAAAAAACATTTGGCCTTTGGGAAATAGCCACAACACAATACAATAATTTTGGATTTGGTCCGACTAATCGTTTGCCTCTCCCAATTCGCAGCCATTTTTTACTCTCCTCCCTCCCTCCCGACTCCTGAGGCTGAGAACGACAGGAGAAACAAAGAACCAGAACAAAAAAACCCTAAATTATTTTCAATTTCGGCGGTTCAGATTTTGTTATTGAAGAGTTTTTGATCGAGGGCTTGTTTAAATGGGCGATCTTCCTATGGCCGTGGGAGACATCAGGTGAGGAACATTCGATTCCATTTTTCAATTTATTTGCTTTTCGATTTTTCCCCTTTCATGCTGTTGAATTTAGGGGTTTATTAGGATTCACTGGACAGTGTTAACCCTTTGGTTCAAATCTCAATCCAAAGTTTATGAATCAATTTTTATTGGTTATTGTTTGTTTGACAGCAAAAGTTTAGTCAAAAAGAGCTTTTTCGGCTATGTTGCTCAAACTTAAAGTTTGTTCATTTGAATTCTGAATATTGTAAATGTTTTGTGTGATAGGATGGAGAATGAGCCTGATGACTTAGCTAGTGATAATGTCGCGGAGATTGATGTGAGTGATGAAGAGATTGATGCGGAAGACCTGGAGAGACGGATGTGGAAGGATCGTGTCAGGCTTAAGAGAATCAAAGAGCGACAAAAGGTCGGCTCTCAGGGAGCTCAAACCAAAGAGATGCCTAAGAAAATCTCGGATCAAGCTCAGAGGAAGAAAATGTCCAGAGCCCAAGATGGTATACTTAAGTACATGTTGAAGCTCATGGAAGTCTGCAAAGTTCGCGGTTTCGTGTATGGTATTATACCCGAAAAGGGTAAACCCGTGAGCGGTTCCTCTGACAATATTAGAGCTTGGTGGAAAGAGAAAGTCAAGTTTGATAAGAACGGACCAGCTGCTATCGCCAAGTACGAAGAGGAGTGTTTAGCTTTTGGGAAATCAGATGGGAATAGAAATTCGCAGTTCGTTCTCCAGGACCTGCAAGATGCAACTTTAGGGTCTCTGCTATCTTCTTTGATGCAACATTGTGATCCTCCTCAAAGGAAGTTTCCGCTGGAGAAAGGGACTCCTCCGCCTTGGTGGCCAACCGGGGATGAAGAATGGTGGGTGAAACTTGGCCTACCCAAGAGCCAAAGTCCTCCGTACAGGAAACCGCACGATCTCAAAAAGATGTGGAAGGTTGGTGTTTTAACGGCAGTGATCAATCACATGTCGCCTGATATCGCAAAGATTAAGAGGCATGTTCGCCAGTCTAAATGTTTACAGGACAAGATGACAGCTAAAGAGAGTGCCATTTGGTTGGCGGTTTTGAACCAAGAGGAATCCCTGATTCAGCAGCCTAGCAGTGACAATGGAAATTCTAATGTTACCGAGACTCATAGAAGGGGTAATAACGCTGACAGGAGGAAAACCGTGATCAACAGTGACAGTGACTATGATGTTGATGGGACAGAAGATGCTTCAGGTTCAGTTTCATCTAAAGACAGTAGAAGGAATCAGATTCAAAAAGAACCACCAACAGCCATCTCACAGTCAGTAAGAGATCAAGATAAAGCAGAGAAACATCGCAGAAGGAAAAGACCCAGAATCAGATCCGAAACTGTCAATCGACAAGAGGAGGAACAACCTGTAGCTGAACAAAGAAACATCTTACCGGATATGAATCATGTTGATGCCCCTCTGCTAGATTATAACATCAATGGTACTCATCACGAGGACGTTGTTGTAGACCCAAACATTGCCTTAGGACCAGAGGAGAATGATCTGGAATTAGTGATTCCTGAGTTCACTAACAACTATACTTATCTTCCACATGTCAATGGACAAACTATGATGCCTGTAGACGAAAGGCCAATGCTTTATGAACCAAACCCTAATCAAGAGCTGCAATTTGGGTCAGGTTACAACTTCTATAACCCCTCTGCAGTGTTTGTACATAATCAGGAAGACGACATTCTCCATACACAGATAGAAATGAATGCCCAAGCACCAACTCATACCAGCGGGTTCGAGAACCAAGGAGGTCTACTTCAACCCCATAGCTTACATGGAAATGAAGATGGTGTAAGAGGGAGTGAGTTGCCTCCTCAGTATCAGAGCGAGCAAGATAAGCTCTTGGAAAGTAACATTCTGTCTCCATTTAATGACTTGACGTTTGATAGTAGCACCTTATACTCCGGGCTTGAATCCTGTGCTTTTGATGATGATTTCTCATGGTTTGGAGCTTAGTGCCTTGTCATCTTTTTGGGAGGTTTCATGTAAGTTTGTATCTTAGTTTATAAAAGTTACTTTCCTTGTCTTATGTTTTATTGACTATAATAACTTGATATATATCTTGTAGGTTCAAAGGGACATGGCAATAGTCTTGGTAGTACAGTTTACATTCTCTTCTACTGATCTGAACTCTCTCTCTCTCTTTTTTTTATATACCTTCCTTAGATTTGTTAAGAGAAACAATTTTTCCCTTTTGAATAAATTTGCCAGACGCACTGCTTTTCCTGTTGTAATAGTCTCTAGGAAAAGCAGGTAGTGTATCTTTTGTAAATTAACCTGTGAGTAATTCATCAAGCTAAGAGATCACTCATTTTTTTTTCTCCTTTTTTTTTGGGTAAGTATTTGAACTTCACAATATTGTTTCCCAAGGCCAAGTATGAATCACAAGAGTTGACTTTAAGTGAGAAAAGGACGAAGACAGGTCAAAGGCGAAGGAATCACAATGTTAGATAAATACTGAATGGCACAGGGCCGTTATGGTCTTTAAAACCTGATATATTGGTTCAGAGTTTGAGAGTTGTTATCCCCAAAATCCAAGTTCTTTGTATCGGCAATGATGTTTTACATAACTTACAGTAGTTCTAACCCGAGAGGAGTGCAAATCAAACGAAGAAGGGGATTCAATCATACAAAAAGCAAGGCTTGATGATGAGACAACTCAAGGCCTCCATAACTTCATTGTGCCATCTTCACTATAGGTAGCAAGCAGGTTTCTATGAGGGTGGTGTGTTATACCAATCACATCCTTCTCATGCACCTGTCATAAGCATAAACTATTCAGAAACTAGGTGTAATAAAAGACTAGACAACTAGACAATTATTGAGAGAGAGAGAGGAGGGTGATAATTTGAGCTCTAAAATGGAGAATACATTGTATCAAACATGTAACACACTAGGGACTTCATATACACTCTTAAGTTAATGTTATGTGTTTGTCTCGAATATATAACTTTTAAATTTCAATGTCCAAAAATCCTTTAGGGCATGTCTATTCCGGATATAAACTTACCATCATGAAATGCTCAAGTTTACCGGTTTGATAGTTGAAGCAGTACAATTCCCTGCAAGTTAGCGCAAACCATTGTTACAAAAATCAAAGGTAGTAGATGAAACCCGAAAAGAAAGGAACAATAAGACTATCCTTTGAAATCAAACTCTTGGAATTTATCCCAAAACAAAACGATAGAGGAGGTTAGAGTGTTACTTGTCTTCACCGATGCAGTATATCCAATCTCCTTTTGTAGATACACATGCTGCTACAAAATCTCCTCCTTCCCTCTTACCGGATGAGAAACTCTTCACAACCTGCAAAAAAATTATAATATAGAACCATGTGAACAAACTTAGTATTGGCATGGCAGACGACACTGATTTGCAGAAGACCTTTGCTGGAATATCACCTGTCCTTGGAGCGTCATGATGTATACTGATGATGTCTTGTTGCACACAACGATGTGTTCAGTGTTTTTCGGGAACAGATGGACAGAATTGACAGATGCGTCATTTCCCTAAAATTCAAAATACTGATTTGATAACCAAAGAGTTGACGTGGAAACAGAATATCAGAAAGAGCTACAACGTATATGAATCTGTTAGAGAAATGTACCCTTAATGGAGGTGGCGGCTTGAATGTTTGTAGACAATCTGTCGTCTTTGCATCCCAAACCTGTGCAAGAAAACAAGACTGCTATTACACGGCCGAATGGAGAAACCAAATGAGAAACACTGATAAGAAAGTCAGAGCCCAAGAATATACTAATACACTGTACCTTCACTTTACAATCACTGGAGGCAGTGATTATACGGTTTCCATCACTTGTAAAGATGGCGTTATTTACATAAGAAGAATGACCGCGAAATTCTTTCAACAATTTCCCAGATTTTAAGCCATGGATTCTACATAAAATAAACCAAAAAAAAATATAATGTGAATTGGAAAATCCACTAGACCAGAAGCTTCACCAACCAGCAATCAGCTTACATAATTACCAGATGAAAAGGAGAAAAACTTATAGAAACAGGTAAGAAGAAAACTGATGCATAAGAGACATCTACCATCAAAGTATAGAGCCTCGAGTTTTTGATTGGACGAGATTCATATTGCAAGCACAAAAGAAAAGATATAACTAATAAAACCTTGCAGTGTGGTCAAAGGAGGTACTCAGTAATTGGCTTCCATCTCGAGAGAAGGACAGACTTGTAACTCCTTGAGAATGTGCACGGTCAAAACGACGAATGCATAGACCAGTCCTTATACGCCAGACCTGCAAAGGTGACATGCATCTAAGTCTAGGTTTTTCTTACTGTATACAATCAGAATTCATATGCGACCAATGAGTGGGAAAAGAAATATCTACCAAGCTGCTGCAATAGCCTATCTTCAGACGAAAGCAATATAATCAGAAGAAAAAAAATCAACTTAAGGAAAGCACATGCATTCGGAACTTACTTTAATCTTTCCATCTTGTGACCCAGATGCAAGCATTTCTGAATCTCTGCTAAAGTCTATACAAAGGACAGGGTCATCATGCATCATGAAAGTTTCCTGTTAGAATTTAATCATTGTAAGTAAAGAGGATGGAATGAGTACTCTTTATCCAAAGCTGAAATTTGTGTATTAGGAAGTCTCGGACGAGATACTTGGTGCTTTGGGAGTTTTTATTGGGAAATATTTTTGGAATTCAACGATCAAAGTAATCAACAATGTACGTGATGCTTCAGGAATTTAACTGGTGACCTTTTGGAATAGAAAGCAAAGAGCAATCCACCAAATCATCTCATGGACTTATCTGATTCGATACTCAAATGCAGTAAGGATTTTTTTCATTCAAAAAAAAGTACAAACAGCTTATCTGACCCCGAACTGAGTTAGAATAAATATAAAAAGGCGACACGAGAGCTTACAGCAGCTTGATATTGCAAATCCTTCTTCAGCTTTCCACTAATGTAATCCCATACCTGTTATGCTTTTCAAGTCTGAGTAATCCTAGTCACATTTGTAACTAGTATTCATACAAGCAGATTTCGCATCAACTCACCTCGATGAAACCATCAACAGATGAAGATGCAAGAAACTGTCCATCTGGTGAAAATCTAGCGCATTCGGCATGACTCTTTTTACCAAACTGCACCAGCACAAGGAACAAGAATAAAAATTAGACAAGAAATCAACTAATGAGAACCCAAAAGTAATTACGAACAACAGATCATAGGCCACTAAGGTAAACAAGCTATTAAAGTTGCAGTGATAGGTATGAACCTTTATTGTATGACTAAGGACATTCGGATGCGTGTCTTCTACATCTTGTTTCATAGCTGCTGTCCCACGAAAGAGGTCAAACTGAGTTCCTGGAGGGAGCAGGCCTGACACAAGTGTATGTATATATTAAGAAATGAGTTAGGGTATATACGTCGATTTCATTTATATATATTAGTAACGTAGACAAAATACACAGTTTGACTTATAATTCTACAGAATTGTTTGATAGCATCCACAGTTCCTTAGATGCTCACCTTGATGCTGTTGCCACTTTAAAGCCTGACCTATCAAAGCCATTAACCGTGAAGGTGGTACTACGGTAACCTCGGCAGCCACAGCTGTAGAGTAGGAGAAAAACCAATTAGTAAACCTTGAGTACACATACTGAGCAAGAGAAAAAAAAATGTTATTATAACAAATAAAGAAGAAATGGCCAACCTTGAGCAATCTGTGCACGTTTTCTTTCTTTGGTTGTGTCTCCATAAGCCTTAGAAACAATGGAAAAATCAGCAAAAAATTATTTTCAAACACACAAGGAAATGATTACATGAAAACAACTGCTATCTGTGCATAACATGAACAATGACTAGGAGACAATATAGCTCAAAAGACTAATCAGACAGAAAAGTCAAATCCATCAACTTGTAAAAGAGGTAGTTAAATGTAGAGATACTTTTGTCCTTATAAACGCAGAACATGTATTATAATTGTCTGAGACCCTTATCTAGAAACAACTTCATACTAAACCGCTCACTGGTTCTTAATACTTTATAAGATATCAAAAGTCACACAAATCAGAGTATAGAAAATGCAAGAGGTATACAATTTCTGGCAAATATACCAAATTACCAACATTGCTTAAATTGCTGAACAGTTACGGATGACCATGCTTCCACGAAAGAAACAGTCAACGTGATACTGAACAGTCAAGCATAATATAGCTTCCATACCTCATGCGGATCAAAATAGCTTCTGACTAGAAGATGCTCCATCCGCAGATATCTTTCTGGTTGCTCCTGTTTCATGACACCCATCACCTGAGTTTGCCTCAAAATAGCTCGGGCAGTGTCCAATTCTCGAAGCTCTATCATCTCCAATACAATCTGAATAAATCACCCACATATAGATAAACAGAAATTAGCAGGATGAATGAAAGATGCTTCAAGAAAACTTACAACAACCATAGTTTATTATTCACTTTTATACATTCCACAAAGTAGAAAAGAATATACCTGTTCATAAAGGTCTTCTAGCTTATTCCTGGGAAGCTTAAGCTGAGAAACTTGAGGTAGTACCGAGTCCCATCTTCCACTATTAATATCAGAAATAAACGTCTCGACGCTGTCTACTGTATTTAAAGAAACCTGACATTCGCTCTGCAATGTCTGGAACGTCTGATTCAAGGAGTTTTCTTTGCAGAACTGAAGCATAATCTTTATTACACTGAGATATAAAGCACAACAGAGAGAGCTATTAGGGATGAAGTATACAATTTAACCTAAGATCCGTCTGAACATTCGTAATCAATGGTTCTTGGAGCACAATTCAATCATTTGGACTAACGAAAACTAGGGTTCAAAAAAAAAAAGCCAAATCTTACTCTCGAGCTTCGATTTCGAGCGCCATAGTCAGTCGCAGTGGTATTTCGCCGGAGACGCCAAGGGGTTAAGAACTTAAGAGTGGAGAATATGAATTGAATATGCACGAGAAATTTTTTTAATTGGGTTTATAATTCTAGGGTAATGATGTGAATATCAAATATATGGGTCACAACTAAACTTTTCAGAAACTCCGAGTGCTAATTTGTAAAGTATTTAAATATTAATCATTTAAAAAACATTACATTCACAGATATACATCTTGTAACTTCAAAAGGAAGGAGAAAGATATAATTTGACATGGTTCGCTCCACTCGTCATCTTTGTAGAAACAGTTGTTCAGGTGACTAGTGTCAAGGGTCTCTCTCTAGCATTGTATCATCGCTCACTACGATTACTTTCTTGAGATCAATCACTGAATGAAGCTGAGAGACTCTTTGTTCTGAATGCAGCAATTTGCTGGCTGC